TCAGGAATTCTGGAGGGTCACTGTTTCATTTAACGCAGCTCCTGGAGTACACGCTGCAACCATTTCATCTTTCCTAATAAATTTTGCTTTATCAGTTAGTTACATTGGCAACTTTCACCTGGATAACGGTACTCAATAGGTCGACGTGTGTCCAGGATACTAGTACTCCTCGCAGGGTGTTTAAGTTCAAGGAAAAAATGTGTTTTGGTGGAAAGCCTAATCTGAGTATTCAAAGGTCTGTAGTATTTGCTGCTTATGCCGTTTGATGGTAGGTGGCACTTCCAAACGTGATGTTAACGTTTAATTTCCCATCGACGTCGATTTTATCCTGGGACAGAGTCTGAAGGGTAACGCAGGGCGGCATCTAGATGAGTTTACCTTCTAGTTGTTTAGCCAGATCTTTTCGGATGATAGTAACATTGGCTTCCGTATCGATGGTCATATTGCAGGGAATTCCATTGATATATCCCATGATGAAGAGTCCAACTCAGTGCAGAAATCTGACGTGCTTTAAAATGGAGCTTTTCACTATCTGGCAGAATCCGTTCTGCAAGATGGCCACTAATGTTTTCTGCATCCTTGATGGAGAGTGTTCTTATTTTCCATGGCTTGGGGTGTTCTGCAGTTCCTTTTCACATGGCCTTCGCCACTTCAGTCCCAGCACTTTAGGGTCGCTTTGTTGTCCTCGAATTCTTTCTCGGGCTTTGATTTGTCTGGTTAAATTGTCTGTCTTATTTTCCGTTCCCTGGGATGTTCTGCAGTTTCTTCGTACATGGTCTTCACCACCACAGTTCTAGCACTTATGATCGGTTTACTGCCACTGTGGTTCCTCGTTAATGCATTGACTTGCTTGGTTAAATCATCTAGACCGAATAGTCAGTTGATTCGCTGGCTCTTGGACTTGAGCAGCTCTGATTGGGTGTCGGTCTCTGCGAGTTGTTTGCTGGAAGCCTCGAATTTCATGCGTATACTAGAGAGCTTTTTAAATCCAAAACATCTGTCATTCCGCTTTCCGTATTTCAGGATGCTGGATGCCGTCAAAGTACTGCAGGGACAGAATTTCTTTCGTATTTGTCGGGCACTCTGAAAAGGAAAGATGAGACAGCCCTTCAACACTTCTCACCAAAGCGCTGGATAAAGCTTTGAACTCTAACCCCTGGTTTTCAGGCAGAGTTTGAAGGATATCGACTGTTTCTGGTCTCAGAGAAGCAGCGAGATGGCAGGCCTTAGCTTGAGAATCTCATCCATTCTTGTCCGCCATTAGAAAATTGTGTCTTGTATACTTGCTAGGAGGTCTTATTATTATATGTGGATAGCTTCAGAGAGGGACGAGAAGGCATTGATATAAATCGAAAATCATCAGAATTGCTTCCTGCTATTGCTATGCATTTCTTAAAGATGTCAACTTCTTTGGCGATGGCAGCAGAAACCCTGTCTTCAATTTGTTCTTGGACGGCAGAAACTCATTCTTCAATTTCTCCAACTCTGTTTCCAACCTTGTATATTCTTTCTTCTATAGCTTCAAATTTGCTTTCTATTAAGGCAGTTACTTTTCATTTCCTCTTGAACTTGTTTGAGGGCCCCTATCTTGACTTGACCCGCTTACATCTCTGCTTTAACGGATTCTTGTCCTGCTTGACAGCCCCTTCCATTTTCTCCTGGAATGCAGCAAAGGCAGTCACTAGCTGTCTTAGTTGCTCCTCAGTCGCTCTTGTCACCAGCATTCAACCCCATATCTGACACCAAAAAAAGTGGTGCATGCGTAGAAATCCCTTTTAACTTTAATGCATACGGGTCCAGTGATAGGTTGATAAAATTTATTTTATCGAAAGAAACATTTCAGAGTTCTGGAATTTTCCACAAAAATACTCCTATAAATCTTCATAGTATCACAGAGTAAAATTAGTAGTGACATTTCAAACTACTAAGAACGTTTAACGCTATGGCAAAGCTCAGATAAAGAGTGAAGCTAGACCGGCCATAGTACTGGAAACTCGCATTGAGCTAACAGCAAACAACAATGGAAAACAGATGCTCTCTCTGGCCTAATGTAGTTTTCACACCGGCTGCCGAATATTTCTACGCTTTCTGCTTCTCGAAATTCCCGGAAGTCAATATGAGAGCCGAATTGTGGTTACAGCTACTGTAGTGATCAATTACATTTCTTCAAATACCTTTTACCGCGATACAGGGAACCACCTAAAATGCCGACAAAATTAATTCCCCAAAAGGTTGCCAGCTTGGCGATATCTCTCCAAAATACCAGGATCACCATACTCAATGTTAAACATAATGGATTTACTCAATGTTAAACAGACTTGCCCCTATATTCTTATTTTTCTGGCATAACTCGACTCTTTAGATATTCATGTTGCATTCCAGGGGAAAATAAAACAATTTTACATATGATTGCACTCTATGTGCAAAATTCGTAACTATATATATAACGCAAAATAAATTAAAAGAAGCCTCCCAAACGGGAAAGTGGTTAGAGAATCTGACTATCAACAGTAGCTGCAGTGATTTTTTTTTTTTTTTTACTTATGTTTTTGGATTTTGTGTGGTTCCAACACTAGGACACATTTTTTCCATAATCATATACAGATAAAAGCAAAATATGAAGAAGTGGAGTACAACATTCTTAAATCGTTTGTAAGTGTAAATAAGTATCAAAAGGCTTGGAGTTGAGTCCTGAGAAGGCATGGATGTAAATTGGCCGTCCCTTTATAGGAGGCAAGGATGGCCCACCTATTAGTGCCTCCACAATAAAATGACCACCACTTCCGGCCCTAGTATTTTCCGAAGCCTTATAATGTCTAGTATCTGCCATTAGGAAAAACATACATTGCACACATATTGTTCCTTCTCTAAAAATGTGAAATATAATTGTCAGCCAAAAATAGTTACTTTTTATATTATTCTTCAAGAACAAAATGAAATTTTTTATTAAAATAGTAATTTAATTTAGATAAACTTTCATTAAATTGGTGAAAATGGTAGTGTTAAAGATGATTGTTTAGTGTAAATGAGGTACCTAAAAAATTGCTGAAAGCTTCTTTTCCTTAAATATTAGTTTTAGATTTACTAAAGAACAAAAATTCTAAGCAGTGTTAGTTCAAGATGGTTCAGATTCCAGTGACAATAGTAGTTGCATGGGCATTTTCAGGGTTTTTCTCATATGTAATGTGACTACTAGCCAGTTTTCTAAATGCTGCATAAAACATCTTTATCCTTTGAGTCTTTATATTCTTTGTCAAAATCAAGCAAACAAACAAAAACAAAAATATTTAAAAATTCAAAAAAAAAAAAAAAAAGGGGGGGGGCCAAGAAAGAAAGAGCCATACTTTTTATATTTGAAATTTAGAGCTTTATAAACAAAAGGTGTTCTTATAGTCTAGAGGTATTTACGTTTCAACAAATTTATACTGTTTAATACTACAGTCAAAAGTCGTTAATCCGGACTCGTCGGGACTTCGGCGATTCCGGATTATCGATTTTTCCGGATTATAGATCATCAGTTTAAATCTCGTAAGATGCATGCAGAAATTCTAAAATTAAAATATGAAACCGTAATTTATGAAATAAAAAGAACAATTATGATCTAAAGGGTATCAAAATTTGCAAAAAGAAAAAGCTTAATATTTATTTGTTTACTTTATTAAACATTTCTTTCAATGTAAGTTGTTTAAGTTTTGCTTCGTTTCATGTGATAATACTTTCTCTTTAATTCTATTAAAACAGACATAATTTCTTGTTCAATTACAAAGTTCCGCTGTTCAAGTCCTATAATTGCTGTGTCTAGAACACCGATTAATTTTGTCAATCGAAATTTTTTCGTTTTCAATAACCTCTGTCACTTTCTTCGCTATGGAAAGCGAATTATAATGACGAGGAACTTGTTTTAAATCATATCAAAGACGGAGCATATCGAGATGAAATACTACATTTGGTAAGGAATTATAAGCCAAATAAAATAAAAACATCTGCGCTGAAGATAAGGATAGTGTTGACAGATCAACTTCCAATTCATTACGCGCCCGCCGCGGCGATCCCCCCCCCCGCCGAGCAGCGTGAAATTGATAAACAGATTTCGGATTTCAAAACATACTTTCGCTTTAGATCCTTTACATATTAACAAATATATATCGGAAATTCTATTTGATATAATCGAAAGTTTAAGCTTACTTTTATAAAATTGCTCTTACAGTCTGCAAAAAATAATAAGCCGGATCCAATTCGAAAATTAAGGAACCACGCAATCATCAACATTAACTGAAATAGATAATTAGATAATTTTAGCTTATACGTCCATTATACATAAAACGCGCACGCGAAAACGTATTCTGCACTTGCGCACACTCATATGCGCAGTCGTAAAAGGTCTTACGCGCACGCGTAAACGCCTATGCGCATGTGTGAACGCGGCGCATGCGCAGAAAGTTTTTAGTTTTGAGGTCCGGATTATAGATCATTCCGAATTATGGGTGTCCGAATTAACGACTTTTGACTGTATATAAAATTGCAAGGCTGTTAACCAAATTAATGTTCTTGAACAAATTTTATCACATTTCTTTAGTTAGCAAAACAAAATATCCAGTGGATTGCATTATATCTCATGTATTGTTTTACTATAAAAAAAAAAGCATTCTTTAATGCCTTGAATATCAAATCACACTTTCTTTTTATGTGGATTATGTTTGTCAATCGTCTTTTAACTTTCTGAATAGCTGGATTGCGTTTACTAAATGTTAAGATATATTACTATATTTATGTGCATTTATTATTTGAAGTACTTTGTCTAATTTTTTCTTCATAATCCCGATATCATCATAATGAAGGTTATGGAAGCGTAGACTAAAATATATAACATTCTAGTTTATTAAATGTGTAAATAAAATTGTTTATGAATGGATCCAAGAAGTCTGCTCAGAGAGTTAAAAAAATTTAGTAATGTGTAGGAAGCACCATTTTCGGCACTCTTAATAAAAATAATTTCAAAATTATTTATAAAACATCTTTATTACTTTTATTTGGTGGATAAGTATCCTGATGGTCCCAGCAACTAATGTATATTTGTTAACAGTAGATAAAAGAATTATAAACATTTCACCCTGCAATTGAGGCGAAACAGCAAAAAATAAAAAGTTGTAATTGTATTTAAAATCCAAGCATACAGACTGTTTCACTTCTCATAAGCCCAAAGTTATGGCTTGCCACATAGTAAGTAAACACAAATGTAATAATTGTAGCAATATGTTTGTTGAAAGTTGCTTACAAATCGCATTTTACAGCAAGTGCTAGAAATGGTAACCTCTATCTTTCTGATACCTGGCAGTCCTGTGTTCTATGTTTGCAAACATCTTAGTGTCCTACGTGTGCCAAGTGTAGCTGCAGTGATTTTTTTTTTTTTTTTTTTTTTACTTATGTTTTTGGATTTTGTGTGGTTCCAACACTAGGACACATTTTTTCCACAATCATATACAGATAAAAGCAAAATATGAAGAAGTGGAGTACAACATTCTTAAATCGTTTGTAAGTGTAAATAAGTATCTACTGTGCTGGAAGTAACTGTGTAAATTAAAATCATCCAAATAATTTTTTTTTAAAAATGTCAAAACTATTGCAGTAAAATTATTTTAAATTATTTTTAAGGCGGTTTTTCAGATTCTTCCGAAATACCTGATAGTAACCAATCAGCCTTTTTAAGGATATTAAGGATTTTGTCATTCAAACTTCTTCAGGCTGCCAGGTCAGTATGAGAAGGAAATGGCCACTTGCAGAAATTTTTAAAATGCAAATGTTGATATTTTTAAAGTTACATACCGTCACAATTATATTTGCTACCTGGTATGCTTTTCTGTAGTCTCAGGGCTTTTTGCAAGTGAAACATTCTGCATTTTTAACTATTATAAGGAATAAAAAGTTCAATGCACATTTATTCATTTTTAAGAATTGTTGCAAAGACACTTGTAACAAAAGCTGTAAGACTATTACAGATTTTGAACATTTTCACATTTACCACAAACTGCTTAATGCACTAGACTGAAAGTCTGTTATGCAGTACGAAAGTATTCTAAATCATAGGACGAATATAAACAAACATATCTACAGATTAAGTCATGATACAGTGCAAAGCAATGTGTATGAGTACACAAACACTTTATATAAGAAAGACTATATTTTGATTACTTATGGCAGATATAAAGGCCTCCTACACGGTGGGTTTTTCTCCTTCCTGAGGTAGGATATGCAAATGGCAAAGTTAAATTGCTGTAAAGACTTCATAATTATAAATTGTACTTTAGGTTTTACAGCAAGATAACTATAATATAAATTAAGCACACAATATGTTTATCACGAAAAAACACATACATGATCTTGTTTACAAAAGATGGTGTATACATAAAGAGTAATTATTTTCTAAATTTCATGACATGATTGATTTTTTTTAAATTTCTATTTCATGTCAAAGATTTTGAAATGTGGTCTTTATATATTTTCCAATCAAATAAAATTTTCAAATTTTAGATCAGTGTAAGAGGAATATTGAGTAATAAGATTTCATACAAGAATTTTGTATTAAACATATCTCTTTTGAGTATATACTGCATATTTGATATGTATGTATAAGATCAAAAGTTTGATATGCAGCATGTGATACCACAAGCAATCAAATACTGTAACACTGCATTGCCCATCCTTCCCAACAGGCAAATATGCATGCAGAGATGCAATGTGTCAGCTATTGTAATTATATTCAAAATTATAAAAGGGCAAATTTGTATATATTTTTCACAAAATGCTAATTTCAGAACTTACGAGATACAAACGAGAGTGTTAGTGATAGGTTGACTTAATGAATATTAATTAAATTTTTGTTTGTTACCAGATAAGAGTATGATTGAAGACAGAAGGTATTTTTTTGAGAATAAAATAATGCTACCAAAACAAATAAGAACGTTACATTAAGAAAGTTATTTAAATGTAGGATGCAATGTTGTATCACCAGTCTGCAGTAGATTGAAATATATTCAAGCATTTTCAAACAAATATTGTTGCAAAACAATGAATTAAACATAGGGAATTTGAAAACTGAATTAATGTAAGTAAAAAAAAAAGCAACAAAACTATTTGAAGAAAAAATATATACATATACATATACAGTTGAAATGCTTCAACAAATTTTCCTATTTTTTTATTGCAAAATTATTAATTTTCAAAGTCACTATATTTCTGTTTTTATAGAGTTGATATTTATCCTAGGTATAATGGGGATGTAAAATTTATGACTATATATATATATATACAAAGCCAGGACAAAGTGAGGCATTTGTCTCAGGGTAATAACTAGAAGGAATGCAAAATAACTAGTACAGAAATTTCCCTTGAAAAATACATATGACTGTTAACACTTAACTTTAAAACGCAAATGCCTTAAGAATACATTTCAAACAACATATTTTATTAATACAATTTATAATAATTTCAAAGCTTTTACATTCATAAGTACCGTTTTTACTCTGTGTGCTTATATGGTCGATTGCTTGATTGGCTGTTAATCTTGTATTTCTCTTCAGTCAGGATAGCCCCTTTCAGTTCATGTTTGACACAGCATATTATCAATATTATAAGCAGTAAAATTATTTAAATATAAATGAATTCACTTTTTTGATTACTTTACTGCAATCAGGTTTCTTGCTTGATGTATGTTTTAATTGCATAGTTTCCGTCAAAAGTCTTGAGGTTTCACAGTACCGTACACACTGTTTTCTAAAATTAAAATTAATCGTTAGTGTTAATGTGCTGAGGTTTAATATACATTTGATGTTATGACCTGCATAGACTAAACTTGCTTGTATAGCATCAAGATGTGTACATTGTTAATTTTGTACACCTTACTTTAATATCAACGATAGCTTAGTTAGCCACAACAAGCTTTTTGAAGTCCATGAGCTGAGTAGGGAAAGTGCAGGCAATTGTCTGCACTTTGTTGAAACAGACCTACCCTATAATCAGTCTTTTGCTTATTTTTGATGTAAGCTTTGAATGTGATGCATTCTTGGGGATTTACTTTATTGTTTTCATGTGTGATTTGTGGCAGTAGTATACTTGGTTTTATTATGTTTTGGTTGACAGATTAAAGAATCAGTGCATTAATTAGCCTATCTTATTCTTTCTCAAAATCGTAATGTAGACATATAAGGTAAAACATCACATTTTCTTTTTAGTTGTTTTCTTATTTATAATGTATGAAACATTAAAATAAAATATTTAGTTTCAAAGAAATAAGAGGAACATTTAGCAATTTAAATTTTTTGGCTAATATAACTGATAAGAAGTAAATAAATGTTTTAAAATATATTGTTAAAACAATACATTTTAAAACGTTTATTTTCTTTTTGTTGATTACAAGGTAATTGATGTGAATACAATTGAGAAACGTGTTCCTCACTAAAAAATAATAAGAAATACAGTATGGGAAAGACTGAAATATGAAGAAAGAGACAAGTGAACAAGATAAAGATTAATGTATGTTAGATTATTTTTGCTAAATTAGATGTTCATTTAAAGATTTAAAAAACTGAAATTAAAATATCAAAATCATTGAAACTGGGAGTAGCAAACTTGTTGATTGGTGCAAATGAAAATTAGTTACAAATAACTGTCATATTCAACAAAATATTCAAACAAACAAAATATTCACAAATTTAATGCCTTGAAGTTTCCTGATTTAACTGATGAAGCAGGGAAAAAGCATGAAGCATTATTAAATCTTATCAATTTTAAAATTATATTTATACTATAGGGATTATGATAAAACTTTTGATTTAATAGTGATTTACTAGTCACATTTAAATTATTACAGTTAGCTGACATAAATTTTTGTTTTAGCTCAAATGAGCCTTTTAACAACAAAAAATTTTTTGACAGATAAAAGATGTATGAATTAAAGAGACTTATCCATTGATTAAATGATTATAGTAAAGTATGTATGGTTGTCTGCTTTAGAGGGATGCTTTGATGGAGAATATTCTACAAGAACTGTCTCATATTCAAGTTACACATGGACAAACCCTTTGGCCATACTCAGGCTTGAACAATACCAGGACAACCTTCTAATCTTATGAACCGGCCTCTTGACATGAACATTAATGGAGAAATCAGGAGCTTATTTAAAAATTGCCAAGAAGAATTTTGGCAATTAGGAATATCTCTTAAAATGAAATTTTAACATATTGAATTCTTGATCTGTATTAAAAGGTGAAGAAAAGAAAAATGAAGAAACTATAAAATTCACAATACTTCACAGAATTTGAAACAATGATGGGAACATATTAAGATAATTTTAAGCATGATAATTATGTCCTGATTACATCTGCATTTTATTCTACATAGGATTATTTGCGTCAATTAAGAGCTGTTAGAGATTTTGAGACATTAATAAATTAATTGTGTCAGTAAATTATTATGAAACCATAACTTGTATTAAAGTATGGGATATTGTCCATTGTAGGACAACACATTGCAAATAGTTTTCTACAGAAAGATAAGACTGCCAGTGTTTCTAAGTAGCCATTGTTAAATGTGTCATTCTTATACTAGTTTTCTTATTTTTTTAAAAATAATAATAGTAATAGTTTAAGATAATAAGTAGCAGGGATACTCGATGGGGATCAAGAATTAATGCTGTTAAAGAACTGTATCTACAAAAAAATCGAAGTACATTGGTTATCAAAAGATATGAAATCAAATGATAAATTATTGCAGTAGGATGACAAAAGTAGCATTTTGAAGCAAATCAATTAAAAAATTTTCATAAGCGCTGTCTGGAGGGAGATTACTGCATAAAAATTTAAAAAGTAAATGAATCTTGCAATCAAGATATAACTGTTTGCAAAGTCAGACACTTGGACAGGGAGATTATGCCTTTCTTTAAGGCAGGTAACAGAAAATTTTTCTGAATGTTACTTTAAGAAGTGTAGAAGTTTAGAGACAAATATGTTAACAAAATCTGAACAGAAATAGAAAAAAATTTAATAAATTAGATTGTTAAGAATCAAATGATAAGAAAAACTAATTCAGTAAGCTGTTTGTTTATTCATTGTAGAATTAAAGAAATGTTAGATGTTTTAATCTCACAAATAAAACAGAGATAAGAAAAGTTGAAACACCTTTTTGATTTTCAGTTTCTAACTGCTGAAAAATTAATATAATTAAATTTAGGTAACGCAAAGACGACAGGTTGTAACTTCGCACTTAACCATATGAATGATATAAATGCTGCAGAAATTCGGTCAGAAATATGTTTTAAAAACCTTGTTTTTTCTGCAGTTTTGGACACTAGCTATAAGACTCAGTTCATTTAAAAATAATTTCAAACATATTTCATGCCATATCTCATTTAGTTAAATTTAGAAGCAGTATGAAGAATACTTTTTTGTTGCCAGTTAGTACTGCCAGTGGTGAAAGAAGCTACAGCAAAATTAAGATAATAAAAGGGTGTATAAGATCTATACTTGATCAGGAAGAATGTTCAAACAAGGCCATTCTGTGAGCTTGTTTTTTGAAACATCACCATCTTTTAGCAATATTCATTTAAACATTTTCTATTTCAGATCTAGTCATTCTGTGGAACTATGTAATTAAGTGATCAAGTAGGTTTTGAGTATATTATTGATTATTTTGTTCCGTTAAAGGCAAGAAAAGTTAAATTATATTTAATGTCATTTATTAGAAAGGAATCTTAATACTTTTCATTTCAAAACTGTAAATCACCATCATAGCTTTACATTTTCCTGAAAATATAAAGCTATTATTAATTATTATTATAAGAATTTTGGTATCATGATTTGAAATATAATAATGATTGAAATATGCATAAAAAATGTACAGATATTGTTAACTTGTACTGTGTTTGTGCATTGTAATTTATACACTCGTGTGCGTATACATATTTTATTTTAATTTTTATGGGTGGATGCGTTGTATATAGGGGCACGTACTGACTCTTTGCTTCAGGTGAAACCATATATAGGCATGGCTCTGTGTGTGTTTGCTTTTAATTTAGAATTACTTTTTTATTTTAAAACATTATTACAGTAATATTAATCTGTTACTTTCACCCAATATTAATCTGTTACTTTCATCCAAGAAACACATTTATATAAGAAGAAATACATTTTGATTACATATATCCAAGAAATGCATTTTGATTATATTTCTTTTATTTAAAAAAGGCTTTGTATTCCATTTATGAATACTGTTATCAGACTTGCTGTTTGTCAGTAGGAAAAATTATATGCTTTCCTTTGAAGCATGCATATATATATATATATATATATATATATATATATTTTATTCTCTGAATTAGAAGATTTTTTGTAATGTAGACTTAATTTTAAAATGAATTTTTCAAATTTTAAAATGAATTCAAATGTTTGAATTTCATATGTCAGACTATTAATGCCAAAATCTATATATTCTTTTCCTTATCAGTGGTTATTTTTTCATTTATTTTATTGCAATTAGTGTTAAAATATGATTTCATCTTTTCGATATTGAAGATATCATGAAACTTTTTTTAACTTTTTATGCTTTTAATTAAAAGATTTTTTTACAAGATCATATTTTTTTATGAAAATGGAAATCTTTTATTTTTTTCAAAGAATAAAATGCCATTAACTGTATATGTTAATGTAATGAAAGATTACAAATAAATAAATTTTAATCATGATTAAAATATTACCTTCCAAATAACATTACAAAATGGCACATATATTAATGCATAGCTATGTAATAAAATTTTAACCATGATTAAAATATACTCCCAAATAACATTATGGAATGTCATTAAATAATATTAGGCATTAAGATTATAATATTTTATATTACATATATGAAAATTTTCCTAACTTATCTTCTTCATTCAGCTTTTACTCGTACACATGGATTTGTTTATAGATGATTTTTCCCGTATTCTCGTCTGTAATGTTAGTAGTAGTCCACTTAGTACATCATGATTGTGCATTTTCTTTCCAAATATTAACTTTCGAACACTGTCATCATAAGTGAGTAAAGCCACCATGTTTTGCAGAAGGAAACCTTGACAGTATTCCAGTAAGTATACTGCATTGTATACTTTTGCATGTATGTACATTGAAACCACATTGTCTAAATCCACCAGTTTAGAACTTCGAGATTCGCAGAATCGGAGCAGTCCGTCCAATTGAAAAAAGCTGGCAGCTGCCATCAGCTAAAATAGAGCATTAAAACAATTAAATATGTGAAATACTTTAACAAGAACATAAAATTTAATTAAAAATTAATATGATATAAAATGTAATAATATGTAGTATTATGAATAATATAATATGTAGTAATTGTGAATGGGGGTGTAAAGAAGAAATGTAGATCTAGGAGCAGCAAACACATCAGTAATAAAAATAAAGCAAAATGGCTAGAATACATGAATTGCAGCCTGTTTAAGTAGTAAAATACTGAGTGGTAAAGAAAACGGTTTCAAAATTGTAGCATGCTGTGTTTGATTAAGAAACAGTTAGCAGATGGAAATTGATAGAAATATCACAAGTAGGCTGCTTTGTGCAAAAAATAAAGTTTGCTAGATAATATTTATGCTTACAGATGGACTGTATCTGAAAAATATTTCATGTAGATATACTATGGACTATGCTGATTGAAGTGTTAATGCTGCTTTTAAATCTGGCTACAATGAAATGACAGTTTCTTTCATAGACACTGATTATACTAAGAGACACACAAAAGTTTCTTCTGAAGAAGTAGTAGTCAATCTTTAAAATTATTTGAAGGGACAAATTGTACAAATTGAAAAATGACAGATATTGACATAAAATGCTGCAAAATCATTATGATATTTTCAGAGAAATTATTCTTCCTATAAATAAAAATAATTAATTTCATTCTAATTTGTGACATTTTAAGGCCATACCTCTTTCTGATTATTCATATCATTATGTTGAAGCGGCATTAATTTTTTAAGGGGAATAATCTTGAGTTGGCTTATCATCAATTGTTTTGTTTTTTAATTTAATAACATTTCACATTTTTATAATTATTAATCTATGAATGCAAAGAGAGAACTTTTTGCTTACCTCTAAAACATCATTTTGGTCTATGTCGCAATTTTCATAACCACCCTTATATAAGTACTGCATCACCAGCTGTTAAAAAATAATTAAAAAAATTCTAATAGCTGTTTTGTTGTCAATAATCATTATGCATATTTATGACAATTAAAGCATTTATGAAAGCTTTTTGATGAAAAGTGCTTACAATTTATTATATAGTGTTGTGCATATACAGGTTTGTATTGATTGAAAGCACACAGAGAGGATATATAGCTCAAATTTATTTTAGCAAAGCACAGTCAGTAATTACACTTCAAACTACTAATAATGTTAAACACAAAGCAATGTAAAGGGCCTCTAAAGAGCGAAGCTCATACAGACATATCTTAATACATTGAAGTCGATTCTGAACTGAAAAACCAAGAACGGATGATCTCTCCACTCTTATATAGTTTTCCTTCGGGCACCAGGAAATTTTTTTCAAAATTACTGACAGCATATATGGTTAAAATTACATATAAGGGCTGGATATGGTTACAGTTACATAAAGGCCACAATTACAGAAGCAAATATAGTTACACAGAGATCAGATCAAAATATTGTCAGATGGTCACCAGGTATGGCAAGTTTTGATGATTTTGTGCCAAACTTGGCGATAAAACTATCGCCAGCTTGGTAATATCTTGCTGATTTAGTGAGAGAACCATTTACCTCATATATACAAAATTCATAACAATATGTACATTTCCATTCAAAAACTTTTTTGCATTGGGAATTAATAATCTGAAATGAGTAATTGTAATTAGACTCTCAGAATTAATCTCTAAATATGAGAACATTTAGTCTGAATATATACAGTCTGCATTTTCTTTCAAGTGAGATCTTTTATCGTCAGCCTTTATAATTAATACTTTAATAAACACATTTCAGTATTTTAACTAATATAGTTGGCAGGATGTCAACTGGTATTCTATGTTAAATAATTACGTGATATGTTACATAAAGTGCTCTTGCAAAATATTGTATGAATGCATTGTTTTGGAAAATATATGGCAGCATACTAGTTACCGAAGAATTACAGCTATTTATGAATAGTATCTGTCTACAAATCTATATAATTTGTTAGATAAAATGTTAATTTAAACTAGTTCATTTATTTTGATTGTTGATTTTATACATACATTATTGCAGTGGAGTATAAAATAAAAACGGAAACAGTTTAACATAGATAATAAATTTAAAACACTTACTTGGAATATATCATAACGAATATCATTGATCTGCACAACAGGAGGTACACCTTCAGAAAACTTGGTTGAAAGCATAGATTTAAATCTAGGAGATGCATTGACAAGAATAATTTTATGAGCATAAAATACCCGGCCTTCGACTCTAAACTGTACATCAGACATTTCAGGATTATTTACGTATGTAGGATCTGTATTTAAAATAAAGTACATTTTAAGCTATGCATTTAAGTGATTACTAAATACATCATATTAATTTCTTACTAAATATATCATGATAATTTATATCAAATGAAAAGAATTTCACATTTTTTTACTGAAGAAATATAAGATATGTATTAAAGATGAATAATTGTCTTCAGATTTTACATTAGAAGAATGAAATAAAAAAAATGGTTACCTATTCTTGCTCCTCCAATATAGGATACATCGCGGATTTCTTTTATAGGTTCCTTACTGTAGCAGTTTGAAAAAATATCTGCTAGAAGCAGAGTTGTTCCTTCTTTCTAAAAATAAAAGTCCACAATAAATTTCAAAGTTTAAAAATTTCTTTCTTATAGCTTTATATACTGTGTCCACAAAAGTCTTTACCGAACCTTTTTTGTATTTTTTTAATTAAAAAAATTAATTTTCTATAAAATACAAAATCTAATTTTTTTAAAGTTCTTTTGATCCCTATATTTGATATTTAAGAAAAATTTTTGCACTTGTTATAAAAACGTTTGACTCTTCTACAAAACAAAATTTTTAAATATATTTTAATTATTTAATATTTTAATTAAAAATTTGTGATACTTGACATGATTTCGAGTTTAGATTGAAGGGATTTGTTAATAAATAAATTAGGATAATTTTGAGGTTATCTTTTCTCTTTCTCCCCTTAAATGCCATTTAATGATATGCTTTTTGTGATTTACTAATGTCTTTAATTTATAATTTTTATTGCATTTGTATGCTGAAAGAAATTTTACACAAGTAATTTATAAGTTTTAAAAATCTAAAATTATATTATTAATATTCTCATGAAATTCTTTTACTTGAGCATCATAATCTGGTAATACTAAAAAATTCATTATAGAACAAATGTTTTTCAAAGGAAATAATATTACAAGTTCACCCTGTGCCAGTATTGGAGGGGGGACAGGAATTATATTGATCAGTATTTTTCACAATAATCTGCATAGAAATGCTCATCACATAATATCTTGCCATCAGAAACCTTTTTCTAAATGAAATTCCATTTTTAGTTAACGTACAAATGCAAACATTATGCTCTTCAACTTGTATACAACCCCCGAATATGATTTCTGATTTTCAAATATCTCAGTCAATTTTTGTCACATGAGAGTCAAACTTATTGTGTTTTATTTATTTTTTTATAATGATTAAAAAATTTATCTAAATATAAGTATACGGACCAGAAGAACTTATAAAAAGTTTGACATCATATTTTTACAAAATTTATTTTTTTTTAAAATGCCAAAACATGAATCTTTGTTTCATTTAAAACGTTTTTGTAAGTAGAAGTATATGTCTAAGACCAACGTTTGAGAAAATAAAGGGTGGATAAAGACTTTTTGTGGAAATGGCATCTACAAAAGATGGAAAGGCCTTTAGTTCTTTATTATATAAAGAGTATAGCAGTAAACAGGGGGAAAAAAAAGAAAAAAAAAAACTTTAAAAAGTTATCTAAGTCTCTTTAATTGTTAAGTGTATAAGTTGTATATGATTTGGCAAATGCCCATTCAGTAATTAGTTTATACTGTAATGTATGGAGGATTTAATTTATAACCATGCTAATAGCTTCTTTAGTTCTGCTATCTCATTTGAGACCATAATATAGCAAAACCTGAACATAAACAATATCATTAAAGTAATGCAGAGCCACAAAATAAAAATCATGGATTAAATAATTTCAATGACTATTCCAATAAATGCATCTTTTCATATATAACCCGTTTAGTGAACAACTGTTGTATTTTCCAAGGCTAAGATAAAGATATATTTTACTGCAAGCAAAAATGAGCTTAAAATATGCATATTTTTAAACTATGTACTACATCAAACTGAATTATTGCAACTGATTTATCTATTTATGAATCAAGTGTATGAATGGAAATTAAAACTTGATTGTCCCTGTGACGGCTTTATTAAGCCAAATTAAAGTGCAAGACCTTAGTCCATCATTTCATTTTTAAAGTCTGACATAAAAAACTAAAATACCAAGTTTAAAATTTTGCTTCTTCTGATGTTGAAAAATGTATAATTTTGTATGTTTTAAGTATTACAGGAAGATTTAGAGTTTCCTTGAAAGCGGAGGCCTAAACCACATGTTCCATTGTCCCAGGGCTGATGCGACAAGTGTGTCTGCATCAGATGGAAAAATTTAGGAGTCGCAGAAACTGCACTGGCATAAATCAAATTGGGAATATCTAAATTTTTTCTTTGATTAAATCTCTGCTTTGGCGTACATATTAAGCCTAGTCTCACCATAATTGGTTTGTTTGCAATCCATGCAAAGTAACTACAAGAAATTGCATTTATTGAGATTTTCCTGGCATGCAGAATGGAAACGTTAACAAAGGAAAGTAGGCTAGAGGATACAGAAATCCTTTTAATAAATCTGAAAGTTCAATTCTAATCCTTTTTACAATTCCTAATAGTGCATATGAACAGAACATAATGAGCATGAAGATTCATGTTGGTCGGTAAACCCTTCTAATGTGATATTCTAAAACAGTGTTTGTTTATTTTTGCTTCAAGATTATAAAATTTATTTTGAAAGTCATTTTGCTGATGGATGTACAATTTTGTTTATGTCAAATGCTTCAATTTTTTTTACAAAAGAGTTTTTTATATTCTTCAAAAAATTTCTCTTATTAATCATCCTCATCTTTGTACTACATTTTCCTTTGTACTCGTATTAACTTCATTTTAGGTTTGAATCATATCTTTGCAGGTCCATCCATTACTGAATTAAATAAGTGAAGTTGTTTCCATATTACTAAAATTGAACTATTTTAAATTACCTTTTGGGAAAGCAGGAGCATTGCTTTTGCTCGCCAAAAGTAAAATTTGAGATTTGTTTGAATTTTTAAGACAAGAAAATACGAGGGTAAGTTGAAAAATAAGTTTCTTCTGTTGACTGTGGTCAGAGTTGTGTATGAAAGTCAAAAAAATAGAATTAGACATTAAAGATATGACATACCTTTATTTTATTATTCTTGTACGAGTATGTTGAGACATTTGTCATATCGCTTGATAAGCTTCAAAAAGTCCTCCAAGAAAAATTCACGCTTTGCACATGGAAGAAGCGTTGAACGGCTATGGGCGAAAGGCGACACAGCAGGAAAACACGCAAGTCACCAATACACCATTGGGTAGAGGTCGCTGCAAATCAAGCAGATGGCGCTGTTGCAGTGCCTGAGCAAAGCGGAGAGCCCCGGTAGGTATGGAGAGAAGGTGCGTTTTGAATTCGTGGTCAAAGGAGGAAGTGAGAGTAGTTATCCGCTATGAATGGGCACATGGAGTATCAGGAAAGAAATTCATAACCATCTCGTGGAAGTCTATGGGCCAGGTGTGATGTCGAAGCAAATGGTGGAGATGGTGTCGCACATTCAGTGATGGACGTCAGCAAGTAGAGGACATAACCAAGAGCTGGACGGATGTGCACGGCCACTACAGATGCAAATGTCAGGAAGGTGGATGACATGATTAGAGCGAACCGGCGTATCACCATCGATGAAGTAGCGGAAGAACTTGGAATCTCACACGAGCGAGCTCAAAACATCATCCATGACATTCTTCGATACAGAAAAGTGTCAGCACGATGGGTACCCCGACAATTGACCTTGACACACAAGGAACAACGCATGGGGGTCAGCCTGGAACACATCGTGTGTTACCATGACGATGGCAATGACTTTCTGTTTCGGATTGTGACGGGGGATGAAACGTGAGTCCACCATTTCACGCCAGAATCGAAGGCCGCATCTATGGAGTGGAAACATCCGTCATCACCTGTCCGAAAGAAGTTCAAGACAACTCCCTCTGCAGGTAAAGTGCTCCTCACAGTTTTCTGGGACACCCAAGGAGTTTTGTTGCTGGACATTTTGGCCTGGCCTTCTCACATCTGGCGTTCTGCTGTTGGATGACAATGCCAGACCACATTCGGTGACGGGAAGACAAAACCATATTGCAACTCTTGGTTGGGAGTGCCTACACCATCCGACATACAGTCCTGATCTCGCACCAAGCGACTTCCATCTGTTTCCGGCTTTGAAGAAAAATATCGGGGGAAGGCGCTTTGGAAGCAATACTGAAGTGAAACAAGCCGTTCAACGCTTCTTCCATATGCAAAGCCCTGATTTTTTCCTGGAGGGCTTTTTGAAGCTTATCAAGCGATATGACAAATGTCTCAATGTACTTGGTACCTATGTGGAAAAATAAAGGTATGTCATATCTTTAATGTCTCATTCTATTTTTGACTTTCATACACAGCTCTGACCACAGTCGACAGGGGAAACTTATTTTTCAACTTACCCTCGTATTTTAAATTATATGACTTCCAAAGGTCAGTCTCCTGTTGCATCACAGTCTACTGATGATGAAATTATTTCAAATGTATAAAGGAAAGTCAATAAGTGAGTCACAAAAAGCAATTGCAAAATAACCTAAAGAGATACCTCACTTGCAAACTATTTTTATTTCTCAATATAATCTTCATAGTTATTTATATGCTTGTCTCATTGTTTTATCAGTGTTTTAATACCAATTGCATTCTTTGGGGTTTTTTTTGGGTTGCTATGGCAACCATGCTAGGACTTCATCTTAATCATTGTCATCTGCAGAGTGTCTACCTCCTAAAATGTACTTTTAGTTTGCCAGACAGATAGTGCTGCATTTATTGTTATGCTGTATAGCGCATTTCTCCAATCAATTACTCCACTCTTAGTGCTGTTGAGTCTGTCCCAATCTCAACAGGACACCTACTTTGGTTTTCATCACAAACTTTGGTGTGACCCTGAGAAAATTTCTTGACTCGCTAATGTATGACACTACTCAGCAAATACTTCTTTCCATTAACAGGAAACATCCTTTTATGAATATCTCTCACATGAAGTCGTTTTGCCTCCCCCCACCAAAAAAAGGGGGATAACAGCATGCTACTTCTGTCTTGTACAGTCATAGAGTGCCATTGGCATTTTCAAACTACACATGTGCAATTGATACTTCATAAGCAATGAAATAAATATCATGAACTAGGATAGTTTTGTCACTTATTAGCATACATTGAAAATACTAATATTTTCAAATATATCATGCCAGTTTGTGACTTACTTAGTCACCTTCCCTTGTGTTAAACGCAGATGGTGAAAACTAAGATACTGAATTTGATAATGAGGAAGCAAAAATCAGGATTGATGAGAGTTTAGCATTAGGTCAAAGCAAATAGGAATAGTATCTAAACCTTCTAAAGAAGCGAGATTTTATAGTGTATCCGAAAATAATTGCAATGCGCAGTTAAAGACATGGATTACATTAGCTACCTTTTGATCATATATGGTTTTTACTATTTTATATAACTGAAGCAAAGATATTTACTTTACTGTGCCTGAATATTGTGAACAGTAGTGGCAGACATTCATCTACAAACTGAGAACTACAATCTTCTGGCCACACTTGTAAGTAATCCTGAAGTAGTTGATCTATCATTGGCTCAACCTGAAGTTCATATGCCATTGCTAGAGTATTCATCCAACAGTGTAATGTCCATGGCACTCCTGCAATATAAAAGTGAAAGAAATAAAATATTTCTCTTAGATTTTATTACAAACAATGTTCTAGACTTTAGTATGGTAACCCTTTGTAGATTAATATTTCTAGTTTGTAATTCAGTTTTATATGTTAGATATTTCTAACATATTAATATAACTTACAATTCTAATATTGGAGAATATTGCAATATTACAGTATATGAATATATAATCTTTATTTTGAACATTCTTGTTGCCACTAATTGTCAGAAAGCATATTATTGATATACACTGGTGTGCAAAACTTAAGCAACAGGTATTCTTTTTGCCATAACTCCCTCAGAAATCATCTGAGAATCATGAAATTCAGAAATGAGAGAAAACACTTTGTATTTAAACGATAGCGAAAGCATAGTTGCCCAAAAATGAATGCAATGCTTACAGTATGGAATTAAACAAATAAAAGGCTTTATTTAACTCATAGTATCATTACACAATTGTCTATACAAGAGGAAGAACAACAAGCAGATGTTCCTTAGTATGGGATATGCTCTCCCCTTATTGCAATGGTTGCTTCGCACCATCTGTCCATACTCAGCACCAGATTATCCAACAGATCTTAAGGTAAGAGTGCCCATTCTTCAATCAGCATCTGTTTCAGTTGTTGAATGTTCTCCAGAGGATGAAATCATGCCGTAACCAAAGCATCCTACACATGTTCTATGGTATTTAAATCAGGGGAGTACACTGGCCAAACCATTCGAGTGATATCTTCACTTTCCAGTAGCATCTAATCAGCAGGAGTCCAGTGTGGCCGTGCACTGTCATCCATAAAAGCGCAGTCTGCTCCAATGGCACCTTGGAACAGATCCAAATAGGTAAGGATCACCTCCTGACAATAGCGATCTCTGATTACAGAAACTCTGTCGAAAACGTGGAACTCTAACCGCCCATTCGGCATAATGCCTTCTCAGATGAGAATTCCAGGACTGTAATGGTCTCTTTCCTTGACGTTACTGGGATGAAACCGTGAACCAACCTCTTTCCAAATCAATTAGCATTGAGAATCGCTTGTGGAATTAAAACGACTTTCATCCGTAAAGTGGATACGACTGCATTGATGAGATGTCCAGATTTTGTGATCCTTGCACCACTCTAAACAGTGGTGCTGATGGCCCATTTTCAAAAGGATGCAGCCTTCAGGACAGCAGGGGAATAGGTCACCTTTGTGAAGGGGTCTGGACGCAGTAAACCGTGACACTTGTTGCCCCGTTGCTGTACAGAGTTGCTGAGCTATGGCACTTGCTGATTGGTTTCGGGCTCTTTTCGCCTGCAGGGCGATATATTGGTCATCTATTGCAGTTGTTTTCCTGAAGCAGCCACCACCAACCTTTTCAAGAGCTGTACATATGGTTTGGAAAGCTTTCCAAGAGCGCAAAATGACACTTTTGTTGATTCCGGACTCTTCTGCTACACTGGTCACACTACCCCCCCTCCTACAGCTTTCCGATCCTTCTTCCACATATAAAATCATCCAGGTGATTTCTTCAAGCCATATTTCACGAAATAACTCACTTATACCTGCATCGAATGTCTTTAATTGCGTCTCTGTACTTCCTTTTATGGTAGTCTTGAGTTAAGCTCGCTGACTGCACCTGTTTTGCATACGCTCACGTCGCTTATGACATTTTGTTCCTGACATTTGCATACGCATGACCTTTCTACTAAATTCCGTGTTTATTGTACTGATCACAAGAACCTCTTTTCCGCTATTTCATGGCTATCTGATTAAAATTTACATTGTTGCTTAAGTTTTGGCGCACCAGTGTCAATGATACAACATAATACCTCAAATACCTGAAGATTGGTAGTAATAAAAATAAATGCTAACTTCAGTGTAGCACATAGATTTAATGGATGCTACAATAAATATATGAAGAGGCATGGCTAGATTTTTTTGTATGATCAACTATACATCCAAAGCAATAGCTTAATTTTGAATAACAAAATCTTAAAACCCATTAAATTAACATAGATGATTATTGCATCAGAGGGGAAAGAAAACCACCTAACCCCCTGGTTGAGAATTCCTGCACTATAGACATTATAAATGAGTGAGTTTTCTTTCTCAAATATCAGTTGATAGTACAGAAGTACAATTTATGCATTTGAGCTTTTAAAGTTTCCATGTTTAGAATCTTCCCTTTGGTATACACACATTCACAGAGAGTTTTTTTAAAAAAAATAATGAAATGCTTCCCAGTATTATCATATATTAACAGGCTTTGAATGGAAAGGAAATAGTTCCTGTAGGCTGAAGAAAATGTGCAGAAAAATATAAACTGTTAAAAGATCTTGATAAGAACAATGAGGAAAAACTGAATTTAAATTGGAAATTTTTCAAACAGCACTGTGCAACTTACTTATGTAAAGAATTAATAAAAAATGTAAATGCTTCAAAGAAGTAAAATAAGTTGGAAAACGGGATAAAGTACTAACAAAAAAATGCAAATTTCCCAAGGAAGTGGGGGGGGGAAAAAGGGAGGGAAAATTGAGAGAGTTGAAGCTGCTATTCTAGAATGATTTCAAGCTATGAAACTAAAAAATGTTCTAATTTCTGAAGCTCATTCCACCATAAAAGCTGTGAAACTAGCTAAAAAGCTTAGAAGGAATCAAAATTGTAAAAACAACCTTGTATTTAGCGTAAGTATATTGAAACACTCAATCGATTTCGAGGGCAGCTAAAGGTACCTCCTCATCAGAAGAAAGAAATACCTAGAAAGAAGAAAATAAAGGGGAAGGAGTCACAGAAACACGTGGTCCTTATCAGCACTGCACGTGGTTATAACTAGATTTTTAATCAGAGTTGCACTGGCCGCCTACTTTTACTGAGCCAGGCTGTCTGATCAACAGCACAAAAGACAAAAAATTAGCGAAGTTAAAAATAGGGAGCGAGGGGCAAATGCACCTTACGCTCAAAATCTGAACTTCAAATAATGGAAAGCAACCACTGAACGGATTTTTATACCCTCTGGTAGTACCAAACGCGAGGAGGTAACGCCATCTATCGGCAAAAAATAATTGAATTAAGATAGTAGAATTTTAAAGGCATTAGGAAGGACTGGATTGGACTTCAAATCATTAACTAAACTTTCTAAATCTTTGTGAATGTGAAAAGCCTCAAGAAAATCCAATTCGCCTATGGAAGAAGCCTTTTGATGATAATTTTGCAGACCCAAAATCAAAATTATGGTTAAAGTCCAACTATGATACGCTATTGAAGACTTGTTAATTTCCCTTTTTTGACATAAGATTCATGTTCCTTGATACGAAACTTCAACGCTCTTTTTGTTTGGCCAATATATCTTAAACCACACTGACATGATATACTATAAATTCCCCAAGAATTCAAGACAGAAACGCAATCTTTTAGAATCGAAGGGTGAATTTTATTAATAGGGGAGAAACCGACTTGAAAATTGAATTTCTGGAGAATCCGTGCAATTTTATAGCTAACAGAAGGATAAAATGGAAGCACGACAAGGTCATTAATATTATTTCTAACAGTGGAATGTCTTCTTTGATGGGAATCTGAAAATTTTTTTAACGGCTTTATCAATAATCACGGGAGAAAATCCACGGTCAATCGCAACTGCTCTCAAATAATTAAGTTCATTGGTAAGCAAAGATTCAGAGGAACAAACTTTAAGTGCGTGGAATACATAATAGTAAAAAAGAAGACATTTTTTGCTTAAACAGGGTGGCATGACTTGACATGGGGTGGTAAACAAACTGCAAAGGGTTTATGGTAGTAGTGCTAAAATCAATTTCATTGTGGATTATAGAAGGAAGTTTTTCCATACAAGGAATGGGTCACAAGTTAGAAAGATGGAAATAAATCTGTTCATTGGAACCAGCATGGTGAGAAGGAAAAGGCAGAACATCATGCTTCTGCTAATTGGATAATAAACATTTTACCTGCAACCTAAATTTATTGCTTAATGGATTTATAATACAGACAAAACTGCACAGTGTTACAGAACATTAACAAACCACAATGTTTAAAAGTGAAACAACAGTTGATTTCAGAAACTGAAAGAATGAATCATTCTGTTATTAACATACACTATGGGCCTAACAGTTAAGCAAAGAGCACTTGTTTACTGGCAAAAGCAAAAACCCTTGATGCTTTATAGAAGTCAAGAATTTAACTTAGCAACAAGAATTCATTAATAGCAAGTGGATTTTTACCAATTTTCTTTAAAAATAATGAAATGAACTGAAAAAAAAAAAACTTTACTAATTTACACATACATCTGAATGTGGTGAGAGATTAATGTGCAGCACCGATCAGGGTATTTTGGCTTTCAAATGCCATTACAGAAAAGATATTCAGAAAATGATGAACAGAATTCATCAGTCTTGTGAAAATGAAAGCATTTTGAAGAAGTAAACTTAAGTTGATATATTTGATAGAGGTCATTCATATAATTGTCAATGCAAGGGTTCAATCAGGCCCATCAGTGGCTGAGCAGTAACGTTACTGAATGCTGGCAGTTCAGTCCGGGATTCAATTCTCAAGAGAATGGGTTGTCCACATATGCGTTTTCATAGTTTTTTCCCATGTATAACATGTATATGAGCCAGTTTCCCTTAGAAAGTCCTCCATGAAGGTATTCCTTCCCTCAGGCAGATAGTGGCAAGTGCTTAACCATAATTAAATAAACCAAACTAAGCCAGGGAGTAAATCTCTTAAAAGACAGTTAAAAACTTTTTCGAAAATGTGGCTTTTATGCAGAACAGGAATTGTAAACTATAGCTAATGTTTTTGGACATCAGCGAAGGAAGTTATGAAGATTCATTTTTAAACTGTATGCCAGTTGCTGTAATATCAAGAAAGTGTTAAAAGAACTATAGAAACTGACAGCAGAAATAATACTACTAAAGAAAGTAATGGCATGGCCAACATCAACTAAATATAAATAAGCATTGCAAGTTATATGAAAACTCTTAAACTGAGAAATGCTAATGGAAAAAGCTACCAGCAGTTTTATGAAATTGAGAATACAATTGAAAAATTATTGATGAACAATTGTCCATAAATCTTGTTAGTTAAAAATTTCTTTAGGTACATAATTATAAAAGTATTTTTTATAAAAAAATTTAAAATGTACATTTCAAAATTGCATAAACATTTTAAACTTTGGCATTGATTTTAATTATTATTTTAGGATAAATTGTTAATTATTATTTTACTAGATAACTTTAAAATTGATATTACAATTTGTAAGACACGAATTGCCACCTATTAAACTCAACTGTTTAATAAACTCAAATATACTTTGAATTGAAGTGATTTTAATAAGAGGCAGGTACTGTATTTATTATACTGCTTTTGGAATAAATAAAAATCATATTTCTAGACCATAAATGGAAAAAAACATTTCCATAGACATTCATGTAGTATATGCATAAAAACTGTAATTATTTTGAATAAAATATACCTATATTCCGAAGATCAAGTGTTATGTCTATATGGCCATTCTCTGCACTATGATACATAGCTTCTTGAAGTGATTTCATTTGAGTTTTTGTGAGCTTGATCACTTGGCTGTTGTCAGTAGAAGTAGATACACTTGAAGAAGATTTATTTAAATCATCAACACAGACAGGAACAACCTATCAAGCAAAGGAAACAATGCATGGCTTTGATCATCAAATGTAATTTTTTATCTACTGACAGGATTATCATATGCAACTTTATTATCCCGTGTAGATATCATCAGTACTTTTATTACTTTCAGTGAGATTATTCAGCATGTTTATCTAAAAATTATTGATCATCCCTGTAAATAAATTATAAAAAAATGATCATGATAATTAGAGACAGATTCATACCATATCAATCAAAGGTTAAAATAATTAAAACAGAAGATTACTTGAGTATTCCAATTCATTATCAAATGAAATTATGTATAAACATATATAAACAATATTCTGCATATTATTTATAATGTATAATCATTCTGTGTATTATTTATAACTATAGATCATATATTTTGTGTTTATCATAAAGCTACAGTCATTAATGTAGAAATGTAAATACTAATTTATATATTGTGAACTTTATGGAAATGTATTTTCTAGACTTTTTAATTCCTGTATGTAAAAAAATATTAATTTAAATGCATTTGTAATTGTTATCGTATGTAATAACACTAAAAAGTATTGAATGTAACTGATTTTTAAATTACATGTGACTTGACTTTCAAGAAGTAGAGCAAAAGGCTCTTTGCCTTTAACATTGCATAAAATGTCCCTTAATCGCACAACAGAAGTTTTTACTTTTTCATATACGCAGTTCATTTTTTATTATTCTGAAATACTTTAAAACAATATATTTAAATATAATATTATAAATTCTTTTTTTCCTGATGTTTAAGAAATGAAGAAAAGTAGAAATATTTTTTAAAAAAATTCGCTTTCAAACCAGTAGGCTTTGACAATGACATCTTAGTCAAACAAAAAGGTTCATCTTCATATTATTAAAATCACCTGAGATACTGTTAATTAAATTCTTGGGTACTACATACATTGCTACAAGTAATTACACATGTAAGTTTTTTAATGTAACTTTCTAAAAAAATAAATACCTTTTATATCAAGGAAAATAAGAACTTGTTGGTAATAAGGGTGAATAAATGTTTTTAGAAAATAATCTTCAGTAGGATACGGCATAATATACTTTTATATTTTCTGTAGGAGACATGAATATTTTTTTTAATCAAATGGTGTATGTTATCTCTTATCCGGTAATCTTTTACAATCTAGGTAAAAAAAATCAGGATTCCTTGAAATTTTCTATATGAAATAAAAATGGAACATAATCACAAAACAAATGTTATTCCTTCACTGAACTTTCTCCTTTTCTCCTGTTTTTCTTTTGATTTAGTTTTATTCATTTAAGCTATACGAAAACACATTGTCTTCCTTTAGGAATCTACAAAAAGGAATAAATATGTATAGAATAAATAGATCAGGAACTTTCTAAGAAACAAATTTAAAGCCATATCCAACTACCACTGCTCAGTGCTATTTTTTTTTTTTTTTTTTTGGTAACATAGCATGTTAAAATAAATATTGTTATTCTTTCCAAAAATGCATATTCAAATTTGCTCATGAATGTGTTTTCAAGATCAAAGGGTTCTAAAATAGACAACATGTCTTCAGTTATGTGCATCTTTAATAATACGTATGTGTTTTCTGTCAGTGATATATCAATTAGCACATAAGAAAATAATATGTGCCACAAATATTATTTCCATTTCTCTGATTTATGAAAACACTACAGCTGAAATCAATGCCATCAGTCATGACATTGCAAGAAAAGAAAGGGTGGAAATTATTCAATGAACATACATCATGAAATTATTACATATATATAAAATTTGAACTTACATGGAAAATAGACTGTTGTCTATTTCATAGAAACATATTTATTGATAATTAGGAAAAAAAATGCTTTTTGCTAAAGTTATTCATTGAAAAAATCTCAATTTTAGTTGAACATACAGGAAATTAGGAAGTTATAATTAATTTTTTTAATTAGTATGACTAAGTAAATAAAATCTCATGTGCATTTCAAAATGTTTCTAATTGAAAGTAATCATAAATATTTTACAAAAAATGTTTTTCTACATAAAATCAACTAATGAATGCAAAGCCACTGAAAAATATTTTTCTAGTATAGAAAAAAAAATTGTTATGTGCATAATCAAGTTATCTTAGTGATTTACTCAAATATACCAGTCTTAACATATTACTCTTAAATAGAAAAACAAATAACCATACCACAAGCATTATCATTTTAAAAACTGAATATTGATTGACTATATATATGTATGAGAAAAACAACAAACCTGTAACCTGGAAGTCCTCCTATCACATGTTAATTGAGAAGCTCCCTCAGCTAAGATCTCCTCCAGAGAAAGGACATCTTTATTACTTTTTGTCATGGGATGGGATAAAAGAAGATGAAGCATAGTCCTTTGTCCATGGGCACCAGCAACAGCTATGGCACTATAGCAGCCTCTCTGAGCAGCTCCACCATATGCCAAAGAATCCCTCAACATGGTTGAAAGAAAGGGATGAGCACCATGCATTAAGAGCAGCTCTGCTAATTTTAAACGACCTAGAAGGAGACATTAAAAAATAAGCATTATGAGTCATCAAACCTTTTTCAGTAAACTGTATGTATGGAGGGGGAAAAAAAAAGTCATTTAGGCAGTCTAAAATTAGCATGTCAAATTTTCAGGGTCATAGCCAGAAGAATGAGTGTGCCCAAACAAACAAGTGCCAACAAGGGAATGCAGAATATTAAGTGAAAGAATAATCCCTATTTGCAATAATGCAAAGAAGTCATAATCTACTAAAATTTCCTAAGGATGCTGATTGAAAAAAAAAATTAAAAGTGCTGCATTTTAATTACTGAATTGTAATAAAGAAGAAATTTAATCTACAGGAATATTTAAAAAGAATCATACAGTTATAAAATGTAATATTACAGTCAAAAGTCTTTAACCCGGACTCGTCAGGATTTCGGCAATTCCAGATTATAGATCGATCATCTATTTAAATCTGGGAAGATGGCATGCAGAAATTATAAAATTAAAAATATGAAACCGGAATTTATGAAATAAAGAGCAATTATGATCTAAAGAGTATCAAAATTTACAACAACAACAAAAAAAAAAAAACTTAATATTTATTTGTTTACTTTATTAAACATTTCTTTCAACATGCGCATGCATAAAGCATACATTACGCATAGTCGAAATTGTAAAATTGCAACCAGAAAACTATTTGATGTGTATTCGTGATATTTATAATGACGAGGAATTTTATTTAAATCATATCAAAGATGGAGTACATTGAGATGAAATACTACATTTAGTAAGGAAATATAAGCAGAATAAAATAAAAACATCTGCCCTGAAGATAAGGATAGTGCTGACAGATCAACTTCCGGTGCGCAATGAACAAAAGTTGCCAAACTTAGTGACTATTCCATGAAATTTTGGTTTGATCTCTGTGTAACAGTAACTGGTCCAATCCCTATGTAACTATAATTGTATCCATCACAACATAATGTAATTGTGTATGCCTTCCAGCAAATTCAAGAAATCAAAAACACTGAAAAATTCTTGGCTGATGGGAAAATTATACAAGACCAGAGGAAGAATCAGTTTTCAATTTAGTTCAGAGTTTAGCTCACAGTATTGAGAGATCACTCAGCAAGATTATGCAATTTTGTGTGAAAAGTTCCAGAGCTGTTAAGTTTTTTTTCATTAAATAAATTGCATTAAATTACTAATGATTATTTATGCATTCAATCCATTATGAATATATATATTATGAAAACATGTAAAAATACTGAGCAGTATGTATGGGAGCTTTAAGAACTATCATTTTCTGGGAAAATGTCCTTCTGGTTTGGTTAAAAACTTTTCAGTCTTTTTGACATGGATGCCCATTTTCTTGTTTTCAGGATATATTCCTCTTATGTTTTATTTATATGTATATATATATATCATGTGCTTATATTTTTCTCCTCCTTAACCAATGATTTCTGTGAACTATAGAAAATGCTCGTAAATGCTTGTACATGCATGCAGGCATACTTAAACATTTTCTTTCCCACAGTTATTGGTGATGTAATATTAATGTTACTGTAGTGAACTTATGTTTACTGTCATGTTCATAATCATAAAAAAGTGCTGGGGAATTCTTAACAAGAATTTAAAACAAATTTTTCATGTAATGCTAGACATATTATGTAGTCATAATACAGTTCAATACTCAGAAATATATTCTATATTGACTAAATTAAATAACTTGGCTATATGAAGCTTACAAATGTTCTAAATGTACTCTGGAGGAGAGGAATGTTCTATGAAATACATTTTAAGAAGTAGAGAAACTTTATGCATTAAACTTAGTTAACAATAGCAATTTGGATTAAAACTACTGCATATTGAATTTAGCCACCACATAAAGGACTAATCTTTGTCTGTTTATTTAGTGATAAATAAATACAGCTGCAAAGATCTTTTACAAATTAATTGCTTACCAGATGCAGCCGCCAGTTGCAAAGGAGTTACTGTTATTTTTTCTTCACTGAGACGTGCTCCTCCTTCAACATTTGCTCCCTTTTCTAGCAGAAGCTAAAAAAATAGTGTGATATAATATACCATAAGGAAATAATACCTCAAATAATCAAAACATTGAGATCTGTAATAAAGATCATTTTAAAGTATAAAATGCATGTAATGTAGAAATGATATTTTTGATAGTTTACCTTGCATAAAAATTTAAGAATGAAATATGAAAATGTATTATAGGCAAAAAATTATAAATTAGCTGCATTTCAGATCTGCAGTATGTAAATTTGAATTTAAAAACCTTTTTTTAATAATATATTTACTTGTTATTATGAAAATGGTACATATGCATATAAAAGCTACAGGTAGTCAAGCTACTAACATTTTTTTATAAAGGTTACTTTGAATAATATAGACATAATCATAAATAATTAAGCAATTTCTATGGATATATGATTTAAACATTCTGGAATACTCCATTGCCCTTGTATTGTTAAATAAAAAATTCATCTAGAATGGGTTAGGTTTTTGCTATCAAGAGCATTCAAGGTTATCTGTCTTGGAAGAGGTGTGTCTGCTGAGAATTTTCTGAAAAAAATTGCCTTATTCATGTTATGTACAGTGAAGATTTTATGCAACCAGATCAGTTTGTGATCTTATCCACTTGGCCACTAACAGACCATAATAAAAGCCTCATTGAAGTGAATTAAGAAAGGTGATCAGATATTTTAAAATTTTTTTCTTAATATATAATTATTCATATTAAAATAGATTGTACCTCTTGAAATCAATAAAAAATTAATGTGAAACATATAATGGAAAAAAAATTGTATATTTAAAAAGTAATAATCTGCAGGTGTTACAGAATCCTGTTGGAAGAAGGCATGTCCACTTTCAAATATATCTATTTTTAAAATTTTTAATTAGCTTGTATTATTTTAAAATAACTTTGAATGAAAAATATTGAATTATTAGGTTATTTCAAGAAATATTTTATATAATTAACAAAAGTAATGTCTGCTACATTAAAAAATACTTAGGAGAAAGCCTTAATAATTAATTACTTTTGTGTCAGCCCTGCTGTTATCTAAACCAGTTCCTGTACCTACTGTATGTTAGGTTCCTGTACCTACTGTACTGTATGTTACTGCTGTGTATCTACTGTATGTTAGTTATTATTTCCAACCTTTCCTTTTGAAAGAAAGAAAGAGACAAAACATAATCACAATAGATAATTCTATTTGAGACAGATCTATATGTACAAAAATGAGAAATTATACCTGGTATTCTAAAATTGAATATTCTGAAAGTTTAAAGTGATTAATTACTGCCTACCCATGTCCTTTCAGTGCTTCTTCACATGGGTGAAAAACTCAATCCATTTGCAAAAAAGGGAAAGGGGATCTGTTATTTTTTATCACATTTAGGAGAATGCTTCTAATAAACAGTACAGAAAGAAAGTCCGTGCTTACGTGGAAGAGGAAATCATAAAAACATTTATTTCTCACTTAAAATGAAAACTAAACTTCCCTAGCATGCTTCTAACTAGAGAGTTATGATTAGTGGATACTGTACAAACAGACATGCAAGCTGAACTTTGCTGGATTTGTATTGTTTTCTGAAGCAAATTTAGCATTCATCAAAATAAAATAAAATATTTATCTTTTATGGATGGATGGTGATGACATTATTGACACATAACCTAAAAGGTTATGATGAACCTAACCATCATAACATAAAAGGTTATGATGCACCAAACACATAGTAATATCATAAAAATTTTGAAAACAAATTGGTATGACAGATTTAAATTTAAAACCAGGTAAAATCTGACTACACATAAGACATAAATGTATAAACACATAAAAACAAATTACACAATTTAAAACCACTCAAATTAAATAACAGACTCCAGTTTCTCACAAATATTGAAATAAATTAAAATTGGCCTCTTTTCCGATTAAATAGTTAAGGCATATGTCAGAACTATTAAAATATTTCAAATAAAGGTTCTTAAAATATACATATGCTTCTAAAATATGACGCTCCATAAAACTGAGGCTCAACTCTTGGCTTTCAAAAGATAATTATGAGTAGCATGAGAATGACCAATTCTTAGACAAGTCAGAAGAGCCTTTTCCTTTCGATTTCTATTGGGCTCCCAGTATTCTACTTTAGGCTTCATGTTAATTTATTATTTATTTGGCAGTCCCAAAAATGCTGCGATTTCATCAGGATCCTCTACTTGATGACGATGCTGATGTCATTTATCTTTTATGAGATGATCATTTTTAATTCTTCCTCTTAATTTTCATGGTTTTAAATAAGCATTAGTTGTTTTTTTATTATCTTTACAGTTAAAAAAAGTTTTTTTTCACTTTTAGTGAACACCACAACACACTACTGATAACAGTATTTAGGCAGCAGTATACAAAGATATATAGACTGCAGTATGAAAGGAATGTTATTCACTAAGAAAATATTACTGATGTAAGTTTATTATTTTGAAAAATTATATTTCAGTGAAACTGTTTACTTTTGTAACTTTAAAAACTGTTTCCAGAAATATGAAAAAATAAATCAAGGAATATTCATTGTATACAATTGAATAACATGTCAAAATTTTTACACAACTACTTACTTTTATTACTGATAAGTGTCCATGGGTTGTGGCATATGTTAAAGCAGTCCAATGCTGAGTTTCAGGATTAACACACTGGTAAGTGCTACTAGGTGCTGGAGTCTGAAAAACAGTTGAATAAAATTTAGAAAAGTTTTAGCTAAAATAGAATTAATAAAATAGAATTTATAAATCAGGACAATAAAAGCCAGGCTTTAGTTTGTAACATAAAAGCCTTATTAAAACAAAAATTTTAGGTATTTTCTGAATACCCACAGCCCTAAAAAAATTGCCAATCAGTGGCTTTGTGAATTAAGGTGAGAAATATTTGTATGGCTATCTTAAAAATTTATGGGTATGACATCAACATCAAAAGAAAACAAAAGATGAAATCACTCAGAAATGCCTAAAATTGTGATATAGAAAAGAGTTTAAGTACTGGAAACAGTCATGCTTAATAATGAGAGCAAATCAATCAATATGAAACGATTGTTGTTTTTAGATCTAAGAAAATAAGGAAGGAAGAAGGTGATAGAAGCTAAGAAGACAAAACATGATTTTATTATGTTTTAAAGTTGTAGAAAATCATCATACCATTCTTTTCTGAGATAATTTGATCATTTAAGATATAAAAGGCATAAGATACTCTAAATCATTTAAATAAAAAGCATAATTCTTTTGTATAAGAATTTCTCGGAAGTCGTATAAAAATAATAAAGAATAGAAATAACAGTGAACAGTTCTTCATTCTGCACATATGTATACAAATGTAATGAAATATGATATTTTCAAAGAGCGATTACATTATGATAACCCTGTTAATAACATGTAGGACCATCTTTAGCCCTCAAAACTGCCATCACCAGTGTAGCACAGACCCCATAAGGTGCTGATAAATAGTCTGAGGTATCTGGTACCAAGCGCTCACTAACTGGACCTGCAATTCCTTAACATTGCAAAGGGAAGCATGGCAGCACGAATTTAGTTTTCCAGATGGGACCACAAATGCTTTATTGGATTAATGTCAGGTGAAATTGGAAGCCAAGATATGACTTGAAAGTCACTGGAATGTTCCTCAACCCAATCCTTGATGATTTGACACTTATGACATGGTGCATTATCCTGTTGGTAAACATCATCCCCCGCCAGAAATACTGTTGTCATGAGTGGGTGAACCTAGTCTGCAACAATGTTTATGTAGCACACAGACTCAAGGATTGTTCTATGGGCATTATGGGTCCTAATGTGATCCATGAAAACATTGTCCACACTATAATACCCCTGCTACCGACTTGTCCCCATCCAACTGTGCATCTGAGAGCCAGGATTTTGTTTGGAAATTGGCGTATTGGCGCACACCCATTGATGTGATGATCAGAAAACGTGATTTGTCATACCAAGGAATTTTCTTCCATGCTTCTAATGTCCAATTCCCTCTTTTGGGGGGGTTGATTGCAGATGCAGTTGGCGAAGATGTGCCGTCAGTGCTTCAGCCTCTGGCTGAGTAGGTCCATATGCAGCAATGTACGCTGCACAGTGTGTTGAGAAACATTGCCTGGGTCATCACTGTTATAGCTGTTTGTGATTTCGGCTGTTGTAGCTCTTTGATCACGGCAAACAATGCATAGTATTCTCCACTCTGCTATGGAATCAATGCGTCATTGACGACACACTGCTGGCTAGCAAACTGTCGTTTCACCATACACACACCACTTTCGATATGTGCTCACAACAGCTGCACATGAACAGCCCACTAAGCTTGCTGTTTCTGATATTGATGTTCCCAGTTGCAGAGCCATAATGATTTGACCTTTATCGAAGTCTGATAAATCAGCTGTTTTTCTTATTAAGTCATTAATCACGCTATGTTTCGAAAGACTTAATAATATACTGAACTATTGCTGATTGTAATGTTGCTGGTTCCTGAAATAAAGCCCGAAGGCACACGAAATAATAAATTCTGGACGTAGGAAATCTCAGAAGAGAAATTGGAGGTAAGGAAAAAGGAGGGTGACCGAAAGATCAAAAGCCACTGACAGAATCGGACAAGTATCCACAGAGCAGGATGAGTAACAAAAAGGATAACAGAAAGGTTATCCAATTATTTGATACAAGTAATTGGAAATCATGATACAAAGTGCAATCAAGACACAATGAAATTACATTACGGCCATGACAGTCAAACTGGCAATTTTTGGATTCGAAGTCAGTAAGATGCCTTATCTGTTAGGCTTCACTGACTTGGTTTGGAAAGACCAATACCAATATTGAATTATAACTGATTTATCGTGCTAGCGTGACGTTATCAGTTCTGTTGAAATACAGTCATAATGGTGCATGATTATATGGCACATCGGGGAAGCTGGTTCCCGAAAGGCGGAAGTGATGGGGGATGCTGAGAGAGGTGGTGATTACCATGATGAAGCTTTCTGCTGCGATGTTAGACAGCAAATTTGACTGATGTCCCTGGTAGCTGAAACGCAAGCTATGCCATGGGGAAAAACCACATGGAGACGAAACTATTTCTTTTCATGCCTGTTTTCATGACTTCCAAATGCTAATGTTAAACAACTCTTTCCTTACATGCCTATTTTTGAAAAAGCAGATAAAGAGCAAAATACCCATTTCTTGTAAGAATGCAATAGCTTCATTTTTACTTGATGGTAAACGGAAAATTTTTGTAACTTTAAATCTGTAACAAAAATGATTTGTTATGAATGACAAGAACAAATTACGCTTACAGGCTTGTCTGTAGTAATTTGAAACTTTCATCAGAGTACAGATAATCAGGAATATAATGTATAAATGTGTTTTAAGGAATCTTTCCATTTACAATATCATATATTTTATCCTTTTTACCTCAATGTCAACATCAGCTCCAGCATCCAGCAGTATGTGAACCATTGCCTCATCTCCTCTAATGCATGCAACCATTAAAGGAGTCAAACCTTGTTCATTAAAAGTATTTACATGACTTGGAGGTAACAGTTGTAATGCATGAGGTACTAGGTCTGTTCTTCCACTTGCAAGCATTCGGAAGGCAAGCTCGACTTTTAGCATCCGAGCACATTCGGGATCATCTGATCTTTTCCTACAGTGCAGCCGGTCATCATAGATTCTGTTAAATATGAACAAATTTATACATGCATGGACATACTATTTTAAAATATTATATGCATTAAAATTATAGATTTTACATTTTTTATTTTGTAAAAGCAGCCAAGCATAAGAGCATTAATATGTGTAATTATCAAAGATATAAATGAATGCAATCTCTACATTCACTGGGGGAAAAAATAAAAAAAAATAAAAAATTAGGTACTTTCTGTTTATCCACAGCGTTATGAAAAGTCACCAATTAGTATTGGTGGCTTTGTAAATATAGGTGAGATATGTTTGTATGGATATATTAACAATTCATAGGTACAATTCTATTCCTAAATAATATTTTAACATGTAACATTTTACAAAAAAGAACAAAAATCTATATGACTGATAACTGTACTCAATACAAGTATGAGTATATTCTCATGTATACACTTGAAAATATTGAATTTTAAAACCTGCAGTGAAAATAATTACGAAGTACTAAATTTTAAACTGTATAACATATGATCCAAAGCTATATATTATGTCAATTAAAAATCTTCAGACCATTCATCAGGACATCTATGTAAATGGTGAAGAAATTAGGTACTCTTCTATTATCAAGACTGGATTAAGAAATATATGCATGTAATGGCAATCATGGTCACTAACCACTACACTGGGCTGGGCACATATACGAGTGACATGAATGCTACCTTTTAAATTGAGTGCACGTGCCTTAAGCTAATATACATTAGTATATTACAAATTGATATATCGCATTGGTATATACTTACACACATACACTGGTATACATACATGCATTTCTGAATCCAGTCTGACAATCATCGTCACTAACCACTATACTGGGTTGAGCATATATACGAGTGACATGAATACTCCCTTTGAAATTGAAAACATGTGCCTTAGGCTAATATACATTGGTATACATACATACATTTCTAAATCCAGTCCCGATAACAGAAGAGTACCAGAAATTATTGATAAATTTGCAAGCACAACTGTTTTAGAGGCTAATAATAAATATTTCCTGAAAATGAAACAGCAACAATTTTTATTCTACCAGAACACGAAACTTACTTTAAACAATAACACTTTCTTTGAGATGTTGAAAAAAAAAATGAATTTATGCCTTTTCCTTTTTTAAATCCAGAACTCTAGATGATTGGGCATACATAAGAATCTTCACTAGACCCATTTTGTTTTGGTTTAAAGAAATCAAATCAGTGCATTTGATACTTCACTCAACCACCTCTTAGTTTTCCCAAAGGAAGCTATAGAGGAATATAGTATACCTATCTAATGTTAATGCATAGAAATGTGTATGCAGTGAAACCAAGTTAAGCTGCAAATTTATACTTACCCAAATTCTCGGATAGGGCAGTCCACTCCTGGTAGTAGTAAACGAGCAGCTTGCATAACATCATCTTTATCTACAACTTGGGATCGACGATGCTCAGAATGAGAAAAAGCTACTCGAACCCACTCAATCAGTGGAGGCAGAACCAGATATGGCCTATGATAATAGAATACTAATTATTTATAGAGTTAGGATATATCTGAGGATATAAATCTCACTTAAGTGGAATCCTGTAAAAAATGTAAATGCAGTGAACTTTTTCTAAGATGATCACTCATGATTCTAGATGATTTGGAAGAGGGCTCATTCAGTTTGAACTTTATTTATGCCTTCAAGGAATACTGTTCATTTTCAGAGGTAACCGTTTCAGGGACATAATAACCACAATAAGATCTCATTACATACGATATAGCAGATTTTCAAATATTAATGTTGTATGTATTAAATCAGTATTAAATAGTAGAGTCAGAAGTTGTTAATTCGGACACCCATAATCCGGACCTCAAAGCTACAAACTTTCTGCGCATGCGTCATCTTGACGCATGCACGTAAGACCTTTACGGCTGCGAATTTGCGTGTGCGCGTGCGCAAATACGTTTACGGAATGCGCGTTTATTATAACGGACTGTATAAGCTAGCTCTAATTATCTATTTCAGTTAATGTTGAGATGCGTTGTTCATATCTTCAAATTGGATCGGCTTATATTTTTTTTGCAGACTGTAAGCATTTTATAAAGTAAAGTATTTTTGGAGCCATTAAACAAAAAGGAATGCTGCCAAAATGGATAAAGGTTCTTGTTTATCTTACGCCCAGCGGCGGCGAATGATTGGAGTTGTTCTGTCGCGCTATCCTATCTTCAGGAGATGTTTTTATTTCTTTGGCTTATCTTCCTTTACTAAATGGATTTGATAGATTTAAATCAATTCCCGTCATATATTCGATTCCGATAGTGATAAGTGCCACAGAGCTTATTGAAAACGAAAAAAGTTCGATTGTCAAAATTAGTCGGATTCTCGACACAGCAATATAGGATTGAACAGCGGACTTTGTAACGGAACATGAAATTATGTCTGTTTACAGAATTAAAGAGAAGTATTATCAACATAACGAGCAAACTTATTGAAAGAATGTTTAATAAGTAAAACAAATGAATATTAAGCTTTTTTTTGTAAATTTGAGACCCCTTAGATCATATTGTCTTTTTTCATAAATTCGGTTTATATTTTTTTTATAATTTCGCATGCCATCTTACCAGATTTAAACTAATGATCTATAATCCGGAAAAATCGATAATACCGAATCGCCGAAGTCCCGACGAGTCCGGATTAACAACTTTTGACTGTATTAAAAATAGCAGTGATGGGATGTGAGTACTGGCTCTTCCTGAGCAGGATATAGGATATCAAATCAAAACATGTTCTAGAAAGATGAAGATGTGGACCTTTCCTAAAAGTATTGCAACTAATGCAAATGGTAGACAAATGAACAAATATAGATTGTTCAGTCTGTCTTGGAAGTGATGAGAACTCTTGGTCTAAGGCAATCAATATACTGAGCAGAGTCGTAGCTAGGGTTTTCAGCGCCCAGGGAAAACTGAAGATTTCGAGCCCCCTACTGCTTGCCAAAGATGGAAACATTTAATTCTAAAATGTCGTAACATCAGTTTGGCACCCCTTGCATTCTGCGCCCGGGGACAGATGACCCCTTGCCCCCCTCTAGCTACGCCCCTGATACTGAGCAAGCCAACATCACATCATTAATCAGCCAGTTTTAACGAAGAGCAAAGTGGCAATGATCAAATCACCCAAAAACTCTACAGCAGTCAAGATGATGGTGGTGTCAGAGTAATAGACGATACAGTCAAAAGTCGTTAATCGGGACTCGTTGGGACTTCGGCGATTCGGTATTATCGATTTTTCCGGATTATAGATCATTAGTTTAATCTGTAAGATGGCATGCCCGAAATTATAAAATTAAAAATATGAAACCTTAATTTAGAATAAAGAACAATTATGATCTAAAAGGGTATCAAAAATTTACAAAAAAAGCTTAATATTCATTTGTTACTTTATTAACACTTCTTTCAATTAATTTGTCGTTTTATGTGATAATACTTTCTCTTTAATTTCTGTAAACAGACATAATTTCTTGTTCAGTTACAAAGTTTCCGCTGTTCAAGTCCTATAATTGCTGTGCGAAATACCGACTAATTTGTCAATCGAAACTTTTTTCGTTTTCAATAAGCTCTGTGTCACTTTCTTCACTATCGGAAGCGAATTATAATGACGAAGAATTTGATTTAAATCATATCAAAGACGAGTACATCGAGATGAAATACTACATTTAGTAAGGAATTATAAGCCAAATAAAATAAAAACATCTTTCCTGATGATAAGGATAGTGCTGACAGATCAACTTCCCATTCATTGCGCGCCGCCGCGGCCCCCCCCTTCCCCGCCGCAGAGCAGCGTGAAATTGATAAACAGATTTCGGAATGGTTAGAGAAACGAAGGATATGCATTTATCCATTTTTTGCAGCAATTCCAATTTTTGTTTTATGGACATCGAAACATACTTTCGCTTTGTAGATCCTTTGGGAGCTCCAGCATCGGAAATTCTATTTGACATAATAGAAAGTTCAAGCTACTTTTATAAAATTGCTCTAACAGTCTTCAAAAAATAATAAGCCGGATCCAATTCGAAGATTAAGGAACAACACAATCTGCAACATTAACTGAAATAGATAATTAGATAGTTTTAGCTTATACCGTCCGTTATACATTAAACGCGCATGCGTAAACTAATTATGCGCATGCGCACACTCATATGCGCATCCGTGAAGGACTTACGCGCATGGGCAGAAAGTTTGTAGCTTTGAGGTCCGGATTATAGATCATTCCAGATTATGGGTGCCCGAATTAACGACTTTTGACTGTATAATGTACACTGTCTTGTTTTAGTTATAAAAGTTGATAGCCTAGATGTTTGCAACTGCTGATTTTGTGAAACTGAACTCTGTATCTCGGCTCATAATAAAAACATTAAAAGTGCAACTCTACAGAGCAAATAATGTGGTTAGTTTGTTGTTTCCGTCGTACGCATAACAACAAATATCGGTCATCAGCGTTTGACGTAGAGGTTGGTCATCCTTGGCTGAGCCTCCTGGATACCGAATCTATGATTAAAAATTGTTGCCAAAGTCTACGGACACCTAGAAGAGAAGCCTACAGAAGTACTCAAATTTAGCCATTTAGCTACTTCTGTCTGACTTTGTCCTGCCTCTAGTCACTCAATAGCTCTCCATCGCACGATGCCATTAAGTTATTGTTACTAATTGGCTCTCCCAGAATTGTTATCACAACATCACAGCGAAATTTGCAGGCTTTCTCTGCTCCTAGCAGATGACATATTTCGATTGCAGTGCCACTAATTTGCATACAGTAGTTTTCCTCAGCAATTCTTATTTGACAACATATTAAAACCTTATACGGATTGGCTTAGTTTTGAATGAGTTATTGCTATTTTTGTGATGTTTTCTTAATTTTGGAAATCAGTGTACTATACTAAAGTACGTAGGACCGGCGGTTTTGACTTATTGACTTACATTCGCGTGCCTCGCCAGGAGGCTTAATTGCCCCTTTCTTGAGATAAAGTGCAGACTGCCATCACTCTTATCCCCAACGGACTTCTTAAGAGCGAATTTTGAGAAGCATGAATGTAGCCTTTCGGCAATAGATGGCGCTGACCGTTGCACCTGTTTTCTGACGTCAGAATAACGGGTGGCTACCTTTGGCAGGATTCTCGCCGAGGTGAAAATGAAATTTTTTGCCAAAGAGAGTTGACGCTAATGACCCGGGTAACCATAGCAACACCGCATTAGGATTTAAATAACACAACCCCTTAAGCTAAGAACACCCTCTGGAATATTTTAGAATGGAAAAAGACTTCATAGGGGGTCTATAGGCTTTTTTCAAAGCAGAAAGGATATGCATTCAGTGATCGTCTTTCACTTGTGCAATGTTAAGCGCTGTAATGAATTAATACTTTCTATTCGTTCATTGCCTTTTGTAGATTTAGTAAATTTCATTTCCAATATTTAAAAACGCTGATTCGATAAGATTATAAACTCTAGGATAAAAATTATTAATAATCAAAGCTATCTTTTTTTTTTTTTTTTTTTGTCCTTGTGTTGCATTGCTAATAGTTTTATTCTTGTCTTATTTAGGAATTTTGATTTGCCTATTCAGCATCGGACATTATAAAATTTTTACTAAATTAAACAATAGTAGGAGCTGTAAAATAAAAATATAACTCAATCGTTTTATAGCCAATTTTTTTTGTGTGATAACTTAAGATGACCACCTCTTAAAATGACCAGTCTTTCTGAAAATATACATAAAGCATTGCTTTTAAACAATCGTCTTCGTAGAAAACCAAATCTTTTAGACATGTTGAAGATTGTCTTAGAAAGGCTATAATCTATTCTGTAAATTTCTTCAATTTAAATTATATTCGGCATAGCTAGAACATTCGCCCCCCCCCCGGAGCGGACTCTGAATGTGTCCACCTATACAGTCTTTGAATTTGTCTCACCTCTTGGTATAGGCAAATGACTGAATGTAAAAACGACAAAGAGAAAAATACATTAAAAATCTACCTTTAATTCTGAAAAAAAATTTTATTTTATTATTTTAAAATTTAAAAACAAACAAATATTTGTTTGTAAAGCCACCTATTACAGAGTACTATGCTGATAGTACAGAACTATTTCTTAAATACAAAATTAATCAATTTTAGTTCTAAAATGATTTTTATTTAAAAACTTCTTATCACAGCTAGAAACACAATATTGTGAAAAAAATTCTCAGCAGTAAAAAATTACATAATTTGAAGAACTGTGTTTTAGAACAAATAGTAAAACGTCAATAAGACCCATCTTTCATATTCCCGTTTCTCTTTCTTTAATAATAATAACGGAAATAAAACTTTGAAACACTTCTCTCTAACTGAGGGAATACTTTCTTATTAACCTTTTGATAGTCCTCAACCGAACAACTCATTTCATATTCCAGTTACGCATTGCAGTGGGCGCAAACAAGCGCAGCTCGTATTAGAAACTTACGTCTGACAAATTACGTATTTTGAAAGAAAGAACTGCTTAATTTCGCTAACCCCCCCGTAGGTTTAATACACCGAGATCACAATTTAGTTGATATTCGTAATTTTCACGTTTTGAATGTATGAAAATGGTATAAGACTGCGTAGCTGTTGAAATCTTGCGGTGATTTCCTTGGATACTAATCTACAGAAAAATGTATTTTTCTTCTTAAATTAATTTCATAAAGTTCAGAATTATATTGTTCTTTATTTGCTTGAAAGATCCACAGGACTAACCTCCATCAAATATTATTTCATATGAGATTTACGCCTCAAAATTATGCTATCTGTGGCGAACTAGCTACCCTACTGTGGCTGATATCACATGAATTAAAGAAATGACCTCCTTTCTTCAACCCATGTTCTTTCATTTCTTTAGTGAATGCTTTCTCTTATTTTTTCATTTTTATTAACGACTATGTGGCGCTAATTCCAATTATTTTGCAAAGGTACTACGTAATCAAAACGCAGTGGTCCTAAAAATTTTGCCACCCCTAGATTAAGCTGTGTTGTGAGATCGAAACCGGCCCTCTATCTAATTTCGTCTGGCTCCATGAAATTGTGCTTGTAATTCAGAGTGAAATGCTCATTTGCAGCTTCTCCCCATTCACTATCATGTATACTTTCAGGCAATCTGTAAGAAAAATACTTACATCTGCGATGCTTTCCTCAAGCTTGTGACCATTAAGGTTTAGCTAAGCGATTGCGAACGGTGACAAAAAATCATTCTATTGTTTCTCGGCATAAATATTGTCAATGTTTTCTTCTTTCGCATGAAATGATTTCTGTCTATTTCAGCGATTTTGTTACTTCTGATTTCAAATTTACGTCAAGAAATCAAAGCATCAGCACCTATGTCACCAGAAACCGATTTCAAAATTCTTATTACAGTCAGGCCTTGTTAAACCGTCATCCCGCTCAAAGCCGTCACTTTTGCAAAGTTCAGACCGAATAGGAAAATAATGATAAACCATCATCTTAAAAGAGTTATGTTGCTTAAATCGTTAGTTTTTAGATACGAGATAAGTCCCCCTCTCCAGTTTAGAGATTAAGGTATTTCATCTTCAGAAAAAGAAAGCTGACAGTGCATTGTCAGTTCCCTTCGTTATCCAATTCATTCACACAATTACTGAAAACTTGTAGAGGCCTTCGGCATTTGTGGAAAAATAGACAGACGGGCAGTTCTTGGCACACGAGTTAAACTCGAACTTTTCCCGAGTTTTCTTTAATTCGAAAGCGGGAATATGAACACTCATACCTTTTAGTAGAATGTTAGGAAAGAGTAAAATTTTAACATTTCCAAAAAAGAAAAAAAGAAAAAAAAAAGTATTGAGAAGTTTGAAAATCAAATCAGTCGAAAGCTGCTTTTACAAAAGCTCATGGAATTCCTCGAACATCGTTAAATGGAATCTTATCATCAAAAAGACACTAGATTATGATGATAAAAAGACACTGAGTGCCTCCCTATGAAGAAATCCAGAAAGCTGTAATCACCTGGATAAAATACGCCAAGACACACAATGTGTCGATTTCTACTTTAATTTTAAAAGAAAAAGGTTCTTTTAATTGTTGCCGAACTAGGAGAAGAAAACTTTAAAGCTGGTAACGGATGGTTGTATAGGTTGAAGATTAGGCACGACTTATCACTCAAAAAAATCAAAGGAGAAGCACCTGATGTTGATACAGAGTTTGCTCTGTACTGGAACGACATGGTAATAAAAAAAGTATGCAAACCAAATGACATTTTTAATGTGATGAATGCGAATTGTTTTACAGAACCTTGCCCAATAAAACATTTTCTTTCAAGAAGGAAAAATGCGCTAGGGAAAAAAAGAATAAGGAAAGACTGATTGTTTTACTGGGATTCAGTATGGATGGCAGTGAGAAGTTGAAATCTATTGTCATAGGAAAATGCAAAAACGTCTGATGTTTTAAGGTGGAAATTTTCTGCCAGGGAGCTATGACACCAACTTCACAGTCTGGATAACTTTAGAGCTATGGAAAAAGACAATCAAGAATTTAGATGGAAAATTTTCGAAAAAAATATATATATATATATATATATATATAATATATATAAAAAAATTAAAAAAAAATAATAATAAAAAAAAAAAAAACTTAATCATGACCACTGCACAGCTCACGCCAGGATAAGGAATTTAGAAGCCCAAAAAATGGTCTACCTACTTACCACCTAATGTAACTAGCATATTGCAACCTGTAGACGATGGGATTATTCATAATTTTAAATTAAACTGTACTATATGTATAATGTAATTATAAATTAATTAAACTGTAAATTAAACTGTAAAAAACTTCTCATGAAGGATTTTATTACTGCCCTTAGTAACAAATCCTTCATTTTTGTTTCTGCGCTTGATACGATTTTCTACATAATGAAAAGTTGGAGCATGATTTTCACCAAAACTATTGCCAATTGCTTCAAACATACAGGCTTCAAAATAAATTCTTCAGAAGACAGTCCCGATGAGAGGGAGTGAAGATGATGTCCCTTTATCGGACCTAAGCTATTAACTAGAAAAATGCAACTTAGAATTTGATTTGGATGAATATGTACGTGTGGACAGCGAAGTAATCGCAAACTCTGGAGAAATTTCAATGCTGAAGAATATCGTTTTCGAAATAAAAAATTTAAACTGTTCTGAGTTCGCTAAGTGGTGATGAACTGGATCAAGTCCCGACGTATAAAGATGCTATAACTGCAATAAATACATTAAAAGATTTTTGAATTCCTTGTGAAAATAAGGAGAACAAACATTTCGCAAGGGTGATAAAAACTGTGAAAAGTAACAAACCAGTATTATAACAAGTATCCATTTAAGAATTTTATAAATGAAACAGTGAACAATATTTTGAGTTTATTTCTTGATTAGTATAATGCAATTAATTTTCTAAGTAGCCCTGTAGTGTCCATTTAGAAGTAGTGTATGGATGAATATATTTTTAATAATGATTAGAAACATTAAGTATATATACGTACTATTTCGTTTCTAGAATGTTCATTTTGGTTAAAATGAAAAATTTCGTTAACTAGCATTTACCATCACTTCCTTATGACGTCACTTTTCTGCTCGGGTGAGAGTCTTTCATTTTGTATTTGCTGTATCGTTTGGCGATGAACTCCACCGAACTTGACAATAAATCGCTGGTCGCCGGTAAAGCAGTCAAATATCTTATTCTTGGCAAGAATCATCAAATATATCGGTCACCAGTGCCGATCCTATACCGTTGGCTGTCCACATGCAAATTCAAACTGGCTGCCCTTTTCTACAGAAACATAATATGTTTGATAATATTTCGCCGTCCTTAAATTTGGCTACCACGTGCTGTGCACCATCTTGCCCCCCCCCCGCCCTGTCCGTCGTGTTATCAATGTTAGTTAATTCTACTAATATAATAAAAGTTTTATTATGATGCATCTCATTAGGCATAAAAATATCATAAATATTTAACTAAATGGATAATAAACAATCTGAAAAATCACATTTGCCTTACCCCCTCCACGTTTAATCATAATTTTACACCAATAAAATAGAAGGGGATCGATAAAAATTTGAAAAATTCTTGAAGGGATCCCCTGTCAAAAACATTTGGGGGTCCTGAAATAAAATATAATGACATTTCTCCTCTGTGCATATATTTTTTTTTTTTATTTTGAAAGAATTTATTGGCAGTCTCTTCATTAGTTGACAGTTACCAAATTACAAAATTCATTTTAAGTTTACGTGTAAAAAATAACTATGAATTAATAAAAAATGTTTTTCTGAATCTAAAAACTGGCTTAAACTATGCTTTGAGCGGTTCACGATGTAAGACGCGTCTGAGTACATTTTGGCTGCTGAGTTTCTAACAGACCACTACTCTAAAATTATATGAATTAATTAATGGAAAATTTACATGCCTTTCATAGACAAGCTCTTGAGCAGGTGTCCTGTGGTTTGCATGTTCAGCATGTTCCGCATGTTCCAACTGTGAACATCGCATGAAGTAGTATAAGGCATGCAGTGCTGCAGGACCCCAGACAATGTTGCACCGACCAGAGTTGTGACCTTGCATATGTTGATAATACTGCACAACCCGCCTCAGAAGATCCCCTGTATGTATAAAAAATAAATACATTGATAACATACATAAATGCTATCAAAAATATCTACATCATCTACTTACATGTAAAATACCAATATTGAAAAAACAATAAGACATGGAAATGTACAAATAAAATGAAGACATTCTTTAAGAAGGTTGAAATACTCAACAAAAATTATCCCAAAACAAAAACATTCTTTAAGAAGGCTGAAATACTCAGCAAAAATTATCCCAAAACGAAATAATTCAAAAGCAATAAAGCAAAGTTTAATACGGTAAGCCTCAACCTAATTTATTCCTAAAGGCTTCTCGTAAACTGAAACTATTTTCCTCATAGGAATTATTGTAAAATGCATTAATTCGTTCTTGGACCACAGACGATTGCTTCTCTTAGCTTTATATAACAGTACTTTGTGCACAAGTTAGTAGCCAAAAACCAATAGAAATCATTAATTATTAAGAAGAGAGAGAGCCGACAGTATAGATGGAAAATGATGAGGACGATGTTTCGGTTGTGAATGCGAAATTCCTTTCTTTAAATGCATTGGCCTTTAGGAGTCATCTTCTTTTTTTCGTTTCTTTGTCTCCATACGTCATTTGACTCTGCTTGAGACTCACTGAGTATCTGCTTCAATCAAAATTTGCCCAGATTTGTTATTGCCCTACGTTTTAAAATGTTTCTAAAGTGAGATATTGATATCGTCGATGAAAATGCTTATGCTGCACTTATCAGGGTAATATCGCGAAAACTTTGCACCTTAACCACTTTTCACAAACTTCCCTGAGCAGGGAATTAGGATAATATTTTCCCCCTTCTTTTAAGACATTTCTTACAAAATCGCATTTTGCTGCAGCTTCTAAAATTCTAAAATTATGGGGAGGGAAGCTTCTAAAATTATGGGGAAGGAAGCTTACTGCCCATATGAGGAGGCAGCTTCTCACCATACAAAGAATGCAACTTTTGATCATATGCAAAGGTTATAGAACATCCCCAACTGCGGCACTGCAAGTGCTGGCGGGTATCCCTCCACTGGACCTTCTAGTGAAGAGAGAATAACTATTAGTAAGGACATTGCGCCTAGAAAATAATGTCTCTCTGTGGCAAAAGACATTTCTACCATACAGACTATGAGAAGCGCAAGCCGATCATGCTTGGACACCCTGCAGATACTGATTTATCGCACACAATATACATGCAATACACGCCGCCAAATAAGAAGACATTTGCTATTTATACAGATGGCTCAAAGACGGAGAAAGACACAGGCTGCGCCTACTGTGTACTCCAAGAAGGAGAAGTGGTTAAAACTTGGGAAAACCGACTGGCAGACAAAAATACCGTCTTTCAGGCACAGCTTCTTGCATTAAAAGCAGCCATCAATTTGGCAAAATATTAATTAGGATTAAAGGTCAACATATATAGCGACTCTGCCTCAAGTTTGGAGTCCATCCGAGGGCACAAGAAAAGGAGTCCTTTGGTGCAAGATATTCAGAAAATTCTTCTAAGTATCCCACCAGATGACAGACCTATCCTGATTTGGGTTCCAGCTCATGTGGGTATTACTGGCAACGAAGCGGCGGACCTGCTTGCGAAATCTGCTGCCAATGACTCCAGTACATTAGAAAACGCAGTAAGTGTTCCGCAGTCCTATTTAAAAAAAAAAAAAAAACCACGCTCAATAACCTTTTACAAGAATGGCAGAAAAATGGGAAAGGGAAAGCACAGGGAGGAGAACCTACAAGTTCTTTCCAAAAGTCACGTGCTCAGTTAATACATACAGCGGAGCACAAACTCAATTCTACACTGGCCATGGTCCCTTCCCACATTATCTTAAGAGATTCGGCATACGAGCATCAGATTTGTGTGAATGTGGTGCGGTAGGTGATGCAGATCACTTCCTCTTCAACTGCCCACAAACCGATAAACTGCATTTAAAAATGCCAAGCAATGCCATACTGGCCGCAACGGGCGGAGAATACCCGCGGCAACAAGCAGACGAAAACTAAAATAGAGGAGGTAATCAGGCTTTGCTCAGCAAGATACTAAGAAATTCTCCCCCTCTCTTGAGAATTGTATCTTCGCAGCATAATTTTAATAGCAATTCAAAATACTACAACTGAATATCAACACTAGGAAAATAGCTCACCCCGTAGAATAATAACAGGACTGTAAGAGCAAAAGTATTGTGATGTAAGCATATTACTATCCAGTTTGTATGTACTTGATAAAAATAATATTGTAAAGCAGTTTAAATCACATTGAAAATCCAGTCAATGTGTAAATGAATTACAAGTTTAATTTGATTATCTCAGTAAAAGTATTGTAAATATGAATTCATATAATGTTTAAATGTACACATAGCTGTCATGATTTTATGTATCTATCATATGTAACTTGTACAAGACAATGATTGTAATCAACATATCTATGCTTATACACAGGCCTTGTATATGCCCATGTAATATTTATATGTATATTTTTACACGGAGGAATTTTTCCCTTCTGCCAGGATGACTATTAACACTGTAAGACTTTTACAACAAAGTCAGGTCAGTGGTTATCTCAGGCGGCGCTCAGCTTCTAAAATTGCTGTAGTTCTCTGATGTTGAGCTCACTTTTATGATTCTCTAGTAACCTCTCTTTGTCTACACTGTTAACTTTCTAGACCACAGTTTTGCCTAGAGGTACAATGCCATAGATAGCAAAGATGAAAAGTATTCTATTGAAAGTCCTAAATGTGATAGAACTCAGTCTCTGCTTTCAACCCAAACTGCACAAAATTAAACTTGAATATATATTCAAATATTATATTACTTCAAATATTCAATTTTTTTCAAATTTTCCATTTATACTGTTTTCTATATATTAGTGAACTGAACTATTCGTGAAGTGAGGCATTCGTGATCTGATATTCCACTGTACATGGTCACTCAAATCTACAAATAAATTCTGTACTAAACATTTTTAAAGGGTTTAAATTCTTTTTGTTTCCTAAACAATATGTATGTAGATTTAAATAACACTTAAGGGGGAAAAAAAACCTGGGCTACTAATTTATAGGACTTCCTTTTGTTACACTCAGTTAAAAAGTTAAATATGTTCCAATTTTTTAAATGCTGAGGGGGGGGGCAGAATTTTCGGTAATCTGAAAGTTATTTTTCAAAGAATTTTGACGTATTATATTCAATTTCTTGACAAACCTTTTTATTAAATCAAGTATACTTTTCATCAAAATTTACAACGGGTGACGATAGAAATGAATGGGGTTGATTTGTATCATGGCATAAAGCCTTCATCTTTATAAAACAAATAATTTGCTTAGGATCATTATTTTGTATCATATTTCTGGAAAAATTGCAGAAAATGTGTTTGAACTTTGAAGAGAGGCCAGAGTGAAATACATTAATTGCCTGCTAACAAGCGGTCCAAGCAAGTAACTTATCATGGTGTTATACTTGACAAAGACTAACATGGAAGCACCATATTACACATGTAATCTCTAAATTTCGGAAGTGTAAAGCCACTCTTCACCCCTTAATTCGCCGGAACTCGGCTTTATCCCTTGACAACAAGTTATTCATCTATAACGCGATGCTGTGCCCTATTATTACTTATGCCTGTCCCGTCTGGCGTTTTATATGTAAAACCACGTTTCAGAGACTGCAAATTAGTCACAACATCACACTATGCCAAATTGCTCGTACTCGCTGGTTCTATCCTAATGCAACGACACACGAAGAATTTGGCATAAAACTTATTACTGTATTTATAGCAAATATTTCTATAAATTTTTTTAACAGAATTTCCAACCCCACAGTTCCAATACTAAATTATGATCCTTATCATGCAGTTAACAGAAGACGACCTGGAGCAGTTCTTAGACCGATTATTGAATTCATTTGTTGTGCTTTTATTTCATTTTACTTGTATATTGTTATATAGCATGTTATTCCTTTTGTGTTATTATTTGTACTTTATTATTTGGAACAAAGCCTGTAGTCTTCTGTGCTCTGGTGTTTTCCTTACTTTTAGTCAACAGCTAGCTTCCACTAGCCAATCGTTAAACCTTCAGTCACGTGTGCCATTTGACCCATCTCATCGCTCCCACTTCTCCATCGGTGCTTTTATACAACCTTTGACATCGACAGACTTGCTTCACAAGGACTGTTCTGCTTATTATACATTATTATATTATTTATACGTTACGTTTTTCATGCTACATTTATCACATATCTCGTTAGCCTGCGATAGGGCTCCGGCCCAAGAACCCGTGTTTTGTGGCCTGCGGCCACCTAAGACTACATTAATTGATTGATTAAGTTTCAATTTTTTTTTTTTTTTTTTTTTTTTTTTTTTAATCATTGAAAAAAAAAGTTTGCTTTTGCAAGTTGGCAAACTTTTATTTATTTATTTATTTTTTTCTTTCACTTTCTTCTCTCTCTCTTTTTTTCTTTCTTTTAAATCATGTTAGCTTATATTCGAGAGTTAATTCTGGATAAGACTTCTTTCTTTTGCATTAAATTAGTTTCACAGTTGAACCGCAGACAAGATTTTTTTTTTAAAACATCTGAATTATGAAAAGAACTATTCGATTTTCCTTTTAACAACAGCGGAAGCAATCATCGATCCGCTCAGCTACTACTTGTTACAAATACCTGATGTTCGTCATTCTCAACGACAGCTAGAACGAATGAAAGCACGATGCAATCTCTCTTAATTCATGACAGCTTTGAGAAATGGTTATACAGCAGCAGGAAATCAGATAACCCTTGAATGATGAACAACAACGGGTATAAAAATAAAACAAATGAAACCCATTTTTCTTATCACCCACAAGAACCTCGCTTACCAAGTTCAGTGATACTGCCCACACATGTCGTCAGCAAATGTTGCTCCACAGATTTACAAGTCGGTTGCCGCGGTTGTTCTTCCGCTAGGTGCAGTTGGACAGAGCTGCCAGGCCTGCTACCGCTGTTATCAGATTGGCTGGGCCAACGCGGTAGAGACAGGGTACCTGTACGAAGAAATTGAGAAAAGTTACACATAGAACAGTTATTCGTCTAATAATAAGAAACTGCAATAAACTTTTTTTTTTATCTGAAAATAGTTTTTTTTTTTTTTTTTTTTTTTTTTTTTATAGCGAAGACGGAATCTATGTGCCGGAAATGTAATGTCCTCAAGAAACGTGACTGAGCATATATATCTTAAATTCTGCTTTCTGGAACATATTTATTTTGCAGTAAGCTTGGAAATTCGTGAACTTAACATCTAATCGAAAAAATTCTATAAAACCATGAATGCGCAGGTAACAGAGTTTTGTTGGTTCTTTTATATACGTTTTAAATTACGAAAGTAAAAAATGCATGCGTGAGTTTAATGTATTCGCAGGGTAATATAAAATAAAACGAAAGCATTAACAATGCTTAATAATTGAGTAGTATTACAAGATCCAGATGAATATCATAGGAATGCAAACTGACGGAAATCGTTGAACAAAATGAGCAAAAATTGGGAAAATTGGAAAACAAAGTTGAGCATATTTATGACTTCGCTAACCTAAAAATTCCAACAAATTTCGGACATTTTAAGATCTAAGTTTAACATATTTATGATTTCGCTGGATCTCTAATATTCTGAAGGATTAGCACAGCTGTATACGTATAAAAAGATATCTGAATAACTCTCACGCTATTTGTGGCATTTTGACTTTTCTTCCCCAGAGTCTCATTAAAATAGCTAATTTGGTAGATTTAAAACTACCACTTGTTGTCCTCGAAAGAGAAAATACATAATTAAAGACGGAATAGACGACTAATTCTAATAAGCTGAAAAGGTAAAATACATATAATAGTTATCTCATTAGGACATACAGTAAGTGGATTTATTTATTTCATGGTACAAAAAATGATTTGGTCATTCTCAAGGTCATTCAATTACTTTGCGAATGAATAATTGCCATTGCATTCAAGTAACGATCGAATTGAGAACAATGTGTCTTACTATTTATGTTTTGTGCGTTTACATTATTTATTAAATACACTTTATTGGCACTTACGCCATATAAAATTCGACTCAACTGCGAAAGCACAAAACATTTAAAAAAGAACATAGAATTTCCGATAGACAGTCTCACGCGCTGGAGTTAAAAATGTTTTATTCCGTTAAGCGCTTTGAAATCGTTGAGTTTGTTAATCGAAAATTCGATTTACAAACACGAAGTGCGTATTTTAAAGTAACAAACTACCGATTATAGACGGAATGCCAAATATACCACATCCGGTTTCATCATATATGGTTAAAATCTAATTACGTTGTTAAAAAGTATGACTATACGTCTTTATTATATGCGGCTTAAGTGTCTGTTTGTCGCCGATAGTTTATTGGTTGCTCGCGTAACTGTACTAACCAATGGGGTGAAGTTGCCATGGCATTCAAATAGTCCATATACACTGATACCAACATCGTTGTTTTAATTAAATTATCATGGTATTTAAGAACATTTAAATATTTTTAATTCATACAATTGTTGCTTATTATGCAATTAACTATATTTACATATGAATTACCTAGAAACTTGCAAATGTTGAGAAATTAAAGGAGACGAAACAACTAACGAGCTGTGCGTAGTACATCTCATCATGTAGGTTTATCCTTCCTCCTATGCTAAATATTATTTCGAGTAATGAGTTTAAAATTTTGCCCGATTTTATTCCGACATTGTATTTTAAAGTGAATTTTCAGCTGAACGCAAATTGAGCGTGTCAGGGGGGAACGTGTTATGTCGCGTATTTTAATTATTAATATGTGTTTTAAGTTATTATTATTCTAATATTTTTATTTGTATTCATGTGTATTTTAATCTGGAAAAAAAGTATTCTTAAGCTGTTAAGGTACCGCCATCTTGGTAAGCTCAAGATGGCGGATAAAGAGCTTGACGCGTTTTACACGTCTCTTGAAAAACATTATGATACTATCAACACAGCACTTGCATCTAAATGTAATATGAACGGTGAGCTGCGTGAACATGCTAGGACGGCTTTGGGTGAGTTAAAATCTCTTATAATTAAAAATTTTGAAAGATTACAATCTGCTAATTATCGCGAAGCTTGTGTGGCAAGTTTGAGACCTCTGTTATGAGACCTTCTTATGCTGAGGTGGTATCGCCATCTAGGGGAGAAAATGTAAACAAACAGTCAAATGATTGTAATTTGCTTGTTTCGGCAGCTGCTGGATTGGAAAACTTTACATCCCTTGATGTTAAAAAACTTTTGAAGGAAAAAAATTAATCCGACAGAAAAGAAATTAGGTATAAAAAAATATTAGGACGATTTCGAATAACAGAATTTTAGTGCAATGCTCTTCCTCAACTGATCGTGATAAACTAAAAGATGAAATCAACAACAAAGCTGAACTAATTTCTTCTCTTCCAAGACAGAAAAATCCTGCTCTACTTATTAAAAATGTGCCAAATGAAATTGATGATAAAGATGTATTAACTGTTCTCTTTGATCAAAATCCTGACATTTTTTATGGTAATGAATGTATTAATGACATGAAATTCTGTTTTACTCTTAAAAAATTCCAAAACTCAAAGCATATCCCGAGCTATACAAAAAATGCCTACCTTTGGGGTATTTGCATTTTGAGTGGTCGGCTTGTAAAGTAGAGGAGTTTATCATAATAAATAGATGCTTTAAATGCCTTGGCTATAATCACAAAGGAGCTAACTGCAGAAATTCTGTTGCTTGCTTTAAATGTGCAAAAGAACATAAAAGTGAGCACTGCCAAACTCAAGAAACTCAAGCTTGTGTAAATTGCATTCGTTATAATAGCAAAATCAAGGATGTTGGCAAGAAAGTTGATGTCAAGCATAAGCCTTTCTCGGAAAATTGTCCTTCAATACTTGTCTGAGGCTTGGTTCATTTCCTCGTTGCTGGAAAACAGCGAATGTCGTTTTAATCCCTAAGAACAGTGGTCCTCGTATCCCGCATTTGGATAACTTGAGATGCATTAGTCTTCTTCCCAGTTTAGGAAAATGCCTAGAAAAGCTGTTTGTTAATAGAATTACTTGGTTCTTGCATAATAAAAAACTGCTAAATAAAGCACAGTTTGGTTTTACCCCTCATAAGAGTTGTGAAGAGGCTCTTTTGTACTTAAAAGACATAGTGGACGAAGGTAAGAAGAGAAATTTACACACAGTTTTAGTGTTTCTTGATATCAAAGGTGCTTTCGACCACGCCTGGTGTCCTGGGATACTTGTTTTTTTTAAGGAAAGCTGGTATTCCGTGTAATATTTTACCACCTTATTAAAGATTTTCTGCATGACAGATCTGCATTGCTCTCCTTTGGCCACGTTTCTTCCTCCCGCATTTTGGAAAGAGGTTGCCCTCAAGGCTCGGTTTCCGGACCTTTATTGTGGAATTTAATTATGAATGATCTACTCAATAGACTCTCACATTGTCCGAGTTGTAAAACAATTGCTTTTGCTGATGATCTACTAATTTGCTTTCAAGAGAAGTGTCCCATTACTCTCTTTAATACGGCTCAAAACACCCTTACTATTATTTCCAATTGGTCCAGAGAACAGAAATTGGAATTCAATCCTAATAAATCTAAAATTATGATAATTAAAAGAAAGCATGTCAGCTATACAAACCAACAACTGTACTTGGATAATACCTTACTCGAAACGGTGAATGAAATTAAATATTTAGGCGTTATTCTTGATCATAAGTTTTGTTGGAAAAATCATATTATGTATTTATCCTAATAAGTGTGAAAATATACTTAGAGGACTTAATCGTGTCTCTTGCAATACTTTTGGTTTAAAAGTTAATGTTATTGATATGATTTATAAGCAGGGTATTGTCCCCTTTATTTGCTATGCTTCTAGAGTGTGGGGAACAGCTTTAGAAAAGAAGATTAATTCCCGTATACTTCGCAGAATTCAAAGAAGAATTTTACTAAGAGTTGTGCGTGGCTACAGAACAATTAGCTATGAAGCCTGTTTCGCAATTTCAGGATTTCCTCCGATTGACCTTCATGTTTTGAATGACAAAAAGTTTAAAGATACCATCAGCAAATTTATGTTCGATACCAAGGTGTTGTTTGAAGATCTTCCTCATCCTGCCAATCGTTTGCCAATTCAAACTATCATTTATGACAATTCTGTTGATGATAATTTCCCTGTTGTGTGTTATACAGATGGCAGTAAAATTAATAATCGAGTTGGATTAGCTTATGTCGTTTTCCATAATGGTTCTGAACTGGAATACAGACTCTTTAGAATTCCCAATGAATGCAGTGTTTTCCAAGCCGAATTACTGTGCATTAGTGAGTCAATTAAGTGGATATCTAACAACTGTTCGCTAAGTGCTAAATTTCTTATTCGCACTGATTCTCTTTCATCCTTATTTTCTCTTAGGAATATCTTCTCATATAATAAATTAATTGTGACTTCCCATGCTCTTCTTAAAGACCTTAATAATAAAGGTGTTGATGTTATCTTTTCTCATGTACGTGGCCACACTGGCAATCTAGGAAATGAACGGGCTGATTGGTTGGCAAAACAAGCTACACATCTTCAAGTAATTACTCCAATGATACTTCCTAAGTCATTTTACAAGAACAAAAGTAGGGATGATACAATACTCGAGTGGAATGAACTATACATGAATTCTACTGCTGCCTCTTTGACTAAACTATATTTTCCTTCCATTCCTCACAGACTGAATAATAAACACTTTTTCTGCAATTTTGAAGTTACTCAATTTCTAACTGGACATGGTAAATTCAATTCATATCTGAAGAGATTTAGATTATCTAGTACAGACTTGTGTTCATGCAGTTTCGGGGGAGTGCAAAATGTCGAACATTTGTTGTTCTATTGTTCAAAGCTCAAGGAAGGACGAAAGGAACTCATTTCTAAGTTAAACTCTGTGAATATTTCATTTCCTCCCCCTCTTCATGTTTTTGTTCAACATAAAATGGCTTTCTCTTTTTTCTGTAAATTTA